TCATGAAAGTTTGGCGGGTATTTTTAACAGGCTGTTGTCAGAAAAGACGCATGATGACAATAAAACAACATCGTGCAACTCAAGTAACAAGATAAAAATAAAAAATAACGTTTTTTGTTACAAGTAAAATATTGTGTTTCATCATTAAATGGAAGTTTTAAAATGTCACAATCTATAGCATAGAAATAAAGAGATTATGTATTGATGCCAGAAGTCTCATTGCAAAATAAACATCATATCTAAGGCGGGTGCAGATGTAGTGAGGACTATATTGCTAGTTATTATTATTATTATTATATAAGATATACTAATATTATTGCAAGTTATTTTCTCTCTCAAAAACCATGGACTTTGGGAGGCAAATAGGGTTTCTACATGTATCATGGACAAGACCTGCCTGAGAAGGTGGGTTAATTGTGCAAAGGAGAGTTATTTTCTGTGGTTCATGTATGTTGATGTTGCCAGGTAGTTTGTTGGTATTGCCCATTTTCTAAACGAGTGGGAATCTGGGTACTATTTTCGACAGCAAAGGCTTTGGGATCATTTGGAGGGACAGCAAAAAATAAGGCGGACCACCACAGAAGAAAGACGTCAAGGTTATTCTGACTGAAGACAATATACCTGGTGCAAGAATTCCTTGCAGAATTGTCCAATTGAGAAAATTGTTACTATGCGGGGGAAAGAAAGACTAGGGGAAATAAAAGGCATTGGTCACATGGTAGGTCCACTCGTGAGGTCACTGAGGTGTACGTGTGCTAAACTTCAGAATACCCGGCCACTTTTTTTGCATTTCATCAAAGAAGCATCGAAAGGTGAATTGCGTTTTATTTTATCCATATTTGTAGGGTTCAAGATTACATTAAGAATGGACTAGATGTTACATATCTTTGTTATCCAGACGGATGAGTGAACCTTCTACACAAAAAGGCTCAACTTGGTGTGCTAGAGGACGAAGAGCCACAACTCAGCCAGTCCTTTCCGAAAGAGGGTTACAAACCTGAACTAAAGCATCTCCCTAAGGTATCTTTTGGAACTGTTTGGCGATTTATGATAGAAGGAGTTGAAAGCAAAAAACAACTTTCCGCTGGAAAGCCTCTGGGCAAGGGATTTAACTTTTTTAAGACCCGGCATGTTTTATACATTGGACAGCTGCATAAAAATGGAAAACATTTCGTTAAAAGTCAAGTCCTACCATCTATGAAAAGAGATAAGATATATGTTGTGGTTAATTTATCTCAGGTAATTTTTATTTTTCCTTTGTTTCAACTTCGTTAGCATACATTATCACACCCAAAACCAAAAGAAAAACAAAAATTACCTGAGATAAAAAATTAACTACAACATATACACTTGTTTTCAGGTCATGACATCCATTGGTGGTGTTTTAAAAGTGCATTGCAAGTGCCCTCCAGGAATCGATGGCCGCTGCAACTTTGTTGCATCTGCATTGTTTGACTTTGAACAACACTTTAAGTACAGACAAAAATGTAGTGTTGATGCAGACGAGTCCTGAACATCTAAGCCTTGTAAGTGGAGTGTTCCAAAGAAACGCAAGGGGTCAGTGAAACCTATATCAAATGAAATCTGAAAGAGCTGTTGGATGGACACATATAAATATCAGCTGATCATGGATGAAACAGACGAGCTAATTAAGCTAAGGGATTACATAGAAATGGATATTGCCAACAGCCGCGCAGAGAAAATCGTGGGCAAGTTATAAGATCTTATTTTGCAAGCAGAGCAATTGAAAATAGATCATGGTGTATCTGCTCGATCGGTGAGACAATCGAAGAAGGACGTGAAGGCCAGGTATTCCACATTTCTTGTGGACAAAGAAAAGCTTGCGAAGTTCTTAAACTACAGACAAGAGGAAATAGATGAGGAAATCGAAAGACGATTAGAACCCAAACAAGAACAACAGCAAGAAGAGGAGTGCCTTTTAACTGAGTTGCATTTGCGACACGAAGAGCATGAGAGACGTATGTGGCAGGAGAAAATGGATGCAGAATTGGAGGCGACACATAAATGGCTGGAACTTGAGAAAGAAGCCTGTTCAACCACAGCAAAACTGCCCAAACTACTTATAACACCACTCAAGGGAACGTCCACCAACTGGGTGAGATTCGGGAACATGTTTGTTACAAAAGTCCAAAACAAATCGATCAGCACAGAAGAGAAATTCGGCTATCTGTTGGAAATGGTAAATCCAAAAGTACGAGCAAAGATACATATGTAGCAAACCTAAGGCCTGGTGAATTTGGCTATAAGATAGCCTCAAATCTGAGTATGGCCAGACGTTCAGAAGATGATGAGCCCAGTAAGTAATGGCGCTAAAGTAATGACTGGAGAAAGAACAGGTGTGGCTGCCCGACTGAAGCAAATCAACAGCAAGCTAATTAATGTGCACTGTGTCTGTCACAGACTGGCCCTTGCTTGTGCTGGTGCGAGTGATGACACAAAATACATCACACAAGTTGAAGGAGTCCTTTTGCAACTCTGGAAGTTTTTTGCTAAATCGCCTAAGCAGACTGCTCTTTTGGTAAGAGCACAAGAGTGGTGGCGCAAGATGAAGCTATTGGAAAAAGCAAGGTCTGTTGTGGCGAAAAAGGTGCGAAAAGCTTGCAGAACACGTTGGCTGGTAACAAGCAATGCTGTAGATGGAGTGTATGAAGATTTTGTTCCTATCATACAGACTATCAATCTCTGCTGTCCAAAATGAGCTTTAAAGTTTATTGGTACGATATATATTTTGAAGGCTGTCCTTCCAGAGCTTGCTGCATTAAGCAGACTACTCCAGCGAGGTACCGTTAACTTTGGCCATATCCTACCAGCTATCACCTACACTACTGACAAGCTAACGAAGATAGCACAAGACGAAACCCCCATCACCCAACTTCAGGTTGATATTCAGGAGAATGGACAGCTCGGTACCTGTGAGTTTAAAAGCAATGACCACGAGATACAAGTTCTTCGCAACCTTCTAAAGAAGTACAGACAAGTCCTCAAGGAGAACATTGATTCTCGTTTCAAGGATGCGATGCCAGTGGTCTGTGCATTAGCCATCTTTAATGCAAATGCCATTCCAAACTGTGGAACAGCAGAGTTTTTAAGCTATGGGTCGAAGGAAATCGGCACATTGTCATACCACTACTTTCCAGGTGACAAGGAAGCTCAGTAGCAAGTGAAAGCAGAGTGGGAGAAGTTAAAATACAATCTTCTTTTGTGGAAAGAGCAGATTCCTCAGGAACTTGACAACATCACCCCAACTGAGTGGAGTCTGAAGACGCTACTTTCCATGCGCACAGAACACGGTCACTTCTACCCTAACCTTGTGTGGATTGCAGAAATCATTCTTTCTCTTCCTATGTCAAATGCATGGCTGGAGAGAGGGGCTAGTGCAGTTAAGAGGGTAGAGTCGACTCCCTAGCAGGATGACTAATCAGATGTTGGAGGCGCTGCTGCATATCTCGATCAACGTACCACCTGTCGGTGAAGCACAGGCTTGGAGGCCTGGAGCAACGCAAAGAAAAGAAGGAAACTCCCGCCATCTGCAAATCCAGGTGGTACTTCTTCTGGAAACTCGCAGAGTGAAGTTCAAGCCATTCTTGCGGACTCTGCTTTCCAAACCGATATCCAAGTCCAGGAAGATGAAAAAGTTGAAGAAGCAAGTGTGCAAGCAGAGGTGGAAGCTGCTGTTGAAGCTTTTAAACTTGCAGACCACCAAGCAAGTTATGATTCGGATGATTCTGCTTTTGAAAGTTAAGATGAATACTAAGCACTCGATCGCTATTCTAGGGACTCGTGTTTTCTTTTGTAACAGTATATTTTGAAATTACAATATAAACAGTGGAAGAGATTTTCCACATTCCACCTTGTATTTAGGTTTGGGACATGACTTTTAGGTAAGACTTGTTGTGCAAGTAAGTGATTTGTAAAATTATGTTCTAATAGGTATGATCAAGAAGGTTGGTTATGGTTAAAATCTGCTAGAAAGTGTTCAAGCAGTAAAAGGCTCAGCTCTTGAAAGCCTTGAAAATTAAGTCGTAAATTAAGTGGCTTCAGACTGATATAAGTGATATAAGACACTCAGTTAGATACACTGTTTAATACGTCTGTGTTTTGTAATGATATATGCGACTAAACTATAACCATGTTTCTCTACAGAATATTTTTTTTTTGATTTAAGGATTAACCCTGAGGTAAAACTACATTAAACTTAGACCATTTTAAAGATACCAGTTGTGAAAGTGTTACAAAGTAGCACCTGAATAGAAATAGTTGACTGTGACTACTTCATTGTAACATAATTCACTTCAAATTTGTTTAAATTAGTTGACTTAGGAGCAAAAAAAAATGAAACAAAGCAACCAAAAAAGACGTGAAAATACATGAAAATGCACCTGTGAGAGTCTAGAACTTCAAAATTTTCCGGGGGAGCATGACCCCGGACCCCCCTAGGGTCAAAAGAAACCTCTGGGGGTACCATTTGTGTTCATAGCAAGATAGAAAATGCCTGAAAACGCTCCATGCTTGCATACCATATGCACATGTAATTTGGAACCTCTTGCTTTTCCATGCATCGCGACTTTTTATCAGTTTTTACTACATGCAATAGCGACCTAACATTTCTAACCCTGGGGAACAAGTCATGATTTTGATATCAAATGTCCTCCAATTTACCTTGTTTACCTCATTCATGATTAACACCAACCAAAAAATCAATAAACTACTTAAAATTAAAAAATACCACTGAATTTATTTCAGTACGTGATTGACTAGCTTAAGGGCTAGCTCTTCCTTAGCACTTATTGTGGTGTATTTTGGCTGGGGCTCCAAGCGACTGACTCTTAGCTAAAGATTTTTTGTGAAGAAACGTGATATTAATAATTGAAATCGTTGGCATTGTGCTATTTCTTCCTCGACTGAGCTGAACGTAACTGAAAATCATGAGTGTTCCGACTATACCTTGAAACCCTTCACCTGCTCACAATCTTCTTTGGTGACCAAATTCCTTTCAGGCAGAACAAGTATGTAGTTACAATGGGATTTAACATTCTCCAAATATTTGGTCTTCTCGCTTTCTCTCAAGTCCCTGGGGGAGACAAAGAAAAATAAAGCGACTTGAAACCACTACTGTAGTTTAAGAAGACGGATATGTGTGGCATAAATGGTGTTCCTTTTTTAAAGTATAAAGATATTAATTTTTCCTTTTCTGGATGCTTTCATGAAGGATTTTTTACTTTACAAGTGTCTCAAAATCATTTCTTAAAGCCTATTATATATTTTTTCTCTGACTTGTCTTACCGATAAAGGAAAGCGTTTCTATCGAGATGGCGTTCGAACACATCCTTGATTTACAAGGCCCATGTGCTGGATTTCTCCGACTGGCCAGCCAGTTGGCACAGGGTGGCAACAGATTCTCTGGGGAAGACCCCATTGTTTTGGATGCATTCATTTATTATGAATGTCGTTGCCTTTCCCTAAAATAAAGATAACTGATATGTTTGTAAAACTGAGATTAAATGCCGACAGCAGATTCTGCATTATTTGAGGAAATTCTTTTTCAGTCAATAACAAAGTAAAAGGATATAAATATCTGCACAGACAAAAATTACTGATGTCTAAAACGTGACACATCCACTTAGACACAAAAAGCTATCCAGTACGGTATGAACACCTCTCCGATATCAAACTCAAGTCTCCTCATTAGAGAGGCTTTGCTCATACCTAATTTAAAAAGGTTACTCCATGTAAATGATTCATTAACGTTTCATTCAAATTTGGCATTCATTCTCCATGTACCTAGCAATTCATTTTTAAGTAAATTAAATCAGCTTACCCAATGCTCCTTCTTGCTTGTTTTCATTGATTTCTCTCAGTACTACAAAGTTCAACGAGGGGTGGGGGGGGAATTGACGGGAGTTTTGAGTAGGATGGTATAGCTGGTACCCCGCAACCGTCAGTTGAAGTTAACAACCCTACACTACTATTCTAAAGTCTTCAAACTCCTCTCTCCTATAGTAGTTCCTTCCCCAAGGATACTGAGGTTATTAGCACTCCGGGAATGGTACTACCCTATATGATTGTGGGGGAGTCCTTGTGGTACCCTTTAGACGTTTTTGTTGATACCGCTAAGGGTGATAAAACCTTAAATAAGTGCTACAAGGACCCTAGTTAAGGTGTTCGCCCAGGATGTATAACAATACCTTCTGACAGTCTTGGAGAAGAAAGTGTTTCACATTTGTCATTGTTACTATTAAAATGTACAGTGCCAGTTACATCATTTGTTATTGTGGAGTTGATACCTCTTTCAGGTGGAAATGAATACGGGACACGCCCATAACACAAGATTCTGGTACGTTTTCGGGTTTGCACGCAATTATTATTCGATGATCATCCCGATTACTTTTATACGGGAGTCCCCCGGGATTAGCATAGTCCAGCCAAAACGGGAACAATTTTTTCCCTTTTTTTTGTCATGCTTATGGGGATGTAACTGCGCCAAAGTAGCCGAGAGAAGCCGCTATCTCTATGAACTGTTTGTAGCGGTGTTGACAACGATCCGGTGATAAACTGTGCCAGCGAGAAACATTTTCAAGCTATTTGACAAGAACGAACTTAATATAACCCACCTCTTTTGGCATCTGCAATTGTGCACCCCAGTGACTGGTCTTCATATCTGTCAAGATATTCTCAAAAACCATTCACTTCCTCGCAATCTTGCTTAGTCGCCAAATTCGTCTCTGGTGCGATGAGGCGGTAATTATAGTGAGATTTCACTTTCTTTAGATACGTCGTTTTATCGCTGTCAGCTCGCAAGTCTCTGTGGAGATAAAGGGAAATGAAACGACTTGACACCAGTGCACCGCCACAAACACTCTCTTAAAATTTGAAGTCATCTCTCGTACAGGCATTTCGTTCTAAAACATAACAATACCAAATTGTGTGATTAAACATGAAACAACACTTTCATTTTTCAATGATTTAATTTTTTACCAGTGCTTTAATCCATTGAGGACTGACATCGTTCTTGCGCAAATGAAAATAAGACCAGTGTCTTCTGGCTTGAAAACATGCCAATGACGGTGTCAATTTACGTCCCTTTTTAAAATATGTACAATGTATCATGTAGCATGTTGTATTGTATTGTATATAGCATGGATATTTATGGTTTCTGGCAGCACTATAGAGAATGAACAATTACATGCAATTGAATAAATTGATTAGCCGGGGATCAAACATTGAATTCCAACTTTAATTTACTCTTCTCTATTTTTTAACCATACGGAATAGTATGTCTCAGAACGAAGTCTAAGATTGCGTGCTGTATTATTAAGTCCCTGGGGGGAGGGTGGCGAATTCCTGGGAATTGGTGGTAGGAGTGTGCCGCCCGGTTCTCCAAATCCTAACCCTATTTCAGACCAAAAAATGTAATTTTCCACACTCGTTTTCTGACCAGGTCTCTAAATTCATACCCCTTATCAGACGTGGCCTTTAGGCAGAAAATATGTTATTATTAGATTAGAGTGCAAACAAAATTCTTCAAATCCACTTCGAATTCGTATATTTTTCTTTCTTACTTAAGACGTTCATACAATCCCGTAGTTCCCAGACCCAATTCCTGACCAAAATGGGCAAAGTGTATCCCCGTTTTCAGACCAAAAGGGTGCGCCAAAAACCATACCCGATGGGGCGACACATACCTATATGGCTTATATACGGGATTTCACCCGGGTATTAAATCCACTTTAAAGTCGCACATATCATTCCCTTCTTATCGTGATATAATACGTACATGGATGGTCCCACTGGCCTTGTCAATGTGACACATCACAGGCCAATTCCTTGCTTCGTCTTTCAACTGGAAATTTCCGGTTGTGAAAGCTGCTTTGGGTTCTAAAAGAAAGGCCCCCCGTACAGCCAGCAGCAGAAAACCCAGAGTTGCTGCGTCGTACGGAGAACCTTTCTTTAAGGGTGTCAACACGAATGGTCTCCTGCAAAATACACAACAGACAAGTGTGACGAACGGCCTTCACATGCCAAAACGCTGTCAGAACATGTTAGACCGATTATGGTCACTGATTCTAATACGTGCTATCCTCGTTCGTCTCTTTGCCATTTTGACGCTACATATTTGGTTTAAGGTCATGCCTTTCCAAGACAGTTCATCAAACGCTTTCAACTGGAACATTGCATTTCTCTTGGCAACTACCTTCTTGTGTTATGCTATAGTTGTACCATACATGCCAGATTTTGAAGGGGCGGGGGGGGGGAAGGGGTAAGAGAACCTTAAATGCACCCCGGCAATAATCAATGCAGTTACGTCAGCAATACCTACCGGTGTGATTTGTTGATCACGTCCTGCTTCTCTTTGTTGAATGTTATAGTACACACTAACTGTTCATTTTCATGTTTTCTGCGGGTAAGGGCGAAGAAGTGTCGTATTAGCGTCATTTCTTGTCTTCATGACACTACATTATCACTTTGAGATGTACCCGTTGATAACGATCTACAATACGGAAGAAGTTGTACATCTGAATACGTTAAATAGTTACCTGAACGACAACTGATCTAAGGTCATTGTCATCCCCCTTTTATGGCCTATTGTCAGCGAGCCTTGTCTGCATCCCGTGTGAAAAGATACAGAACAGAAAAATGCCACTGCAGGTCCAAAAGAAAGAAAAAACAAAAATAATTATTATTAAATTTCTAAAAATTGCATTCTACATATAAATGTCTGGATGCGTTTTAGAACAAAAAAGAAAAGCTCTCAAAAAACAAATACCCTCTTAAATCTAACAGTCCAGTTCCTTTGTCTAATGGCAGTCGGTAGCTGATTCTCTAACTTCAGTGCAATTTTTCAAATCAGGTTTTATTAATAGAAGTCTCTTTAATAGCTGCACGTCTGTTTGCGCAATGAATTATTAATAGACACCTTTATTATTATTATTATGTCGCAGTATGAAACTTTGGAATGCTGTCCACATTATGAGTAGTATAGGGCGCAAAGCGTAACCTACACCACTTGAGAAGCTATACTTAGAAGTAAAAAAAAGGTCGATACGAAACCTAATACAATCCTAAAATACATAGTGATATGAGTCTCTCTACTTAAAAAGCCAATTTAGAATATTATTAAATTCTGATACTCTGTAAAACCTTTGCTATCTCTACTAAAAGCTTATACATAGTGATATAAATCTCTCTACTTAAAAAGCCAATTTAGAATATTATTAAATTCTGATACTCTGTAAAACCTTCGCTATCTCTACTAAAAACATATTTATAATAATATCACACTCTAATGTTCTAAAAAATCTAAATAAAAACGTCAGCAAGCTTGTGTTTCTAGATTTCTAGAGAAAAAACAAAAACCTAAAAACTGAAGTCCATAGCGCCCTAACTAAGTATTTATCTTAAATGTTCTGGCAATGTTTAAAGTGTTTGAGATGACCGACTTCTGCATTCGCTGAAGTACGCTTCGTGCTCTCGCTCCAAGTAGCTTCCTCACCGACTTCTCTAGGTGTTTAGAGTAACCCCCCAGTACGTCAATTATTACGTTGTACTGTTCAACCCTGTAACCATTGTATCTCTGCTTCAGCTCCCACATCATGGGCCCATACTTGAGTGTCTTTTCCTCATCTTTCTTAGCTCTACTCTCAATCCATGGGCAGCTCATTTCAATTGTGCAGACTTCTTTCCTCTCGTGGTTGACAAGTCGCGCGTCGATCCGATTTGCTCTAACTTCGTTGTGCTCTGCATAGATGGGAATATCCCAAAACGCCTCACTCGTGGTGTTCTGGTAGGCTGGTTTTGGCATCACCGGTGAGTACCATGGTGGAACCTCTTCCATTAACCCATGCTCTCGCAGGAGCTCAAAAAACAGAATCCTCAAAGCTGCATTATGCCTGTATAGGTACTTGGTTTGTGCCAGGGAGGAACATCCAGCCAGTACATGTGCAACGCTCTCAGCTACCTTCCCACATAACCTGCATAGAACTTCGCCGTCGGTGGAGGTTTGCGTCTTCTCCTTTGTGTAGAGCTTCGTAGGTAACAACTGCTCATACAGTTCATACATGCCCGCGATGGTATGTGTAGGGCATGTAGCCCAACCTTTTAACCATGCAAAGCAGCTGGCTATGCTTAGGCTCTCATCTTCCCATCTGATACGGAATAACTTTCCTTGCCACTTTTTGTCTTTAGCGCTCTCCAAGAACTGCTTCTCTTGAGATTGCTTCAACAGATTCCCAGCTCTTGCTGCAGTTACCACCTTTCCATCTGTTGTAACACACACGGGATTTAGGGTATCAAGCTGAAGGGTGATGTTGAGTTCTTCAGCGTACTTAGCTGCTTCCTTTACGAGCGACTGGTGGCCTGATGCCATGGCGTGTTCTTCAAATTCTCTAACTGCTTCCACATTCTGGTCCGGGTTCTGATACAATTTCAGTAGCGATTTGATTTTAGTGATCTTGTACTCGTGTTCGACTGATCGCAGGCCTCTACCCCCTTTCTCCCTCGGTAGATATAACAAAGAAGTCAGGCTAGCTGGGTGCTTGCCACCGTTCTCAACTATGATAACTTCCGAGCTGCTCTGTCCACATCTCTTAACTCTGATAGAGGCCAATGCTGTGTCCACATTAGGTATCGCAGGACCGGGAGTGCATACTGATTAGATGCCTGCACACGGTTACAATCAGACAGGGGCTGGACCATATAATAGATATCCTGCGTAGATACTCTTTAGCCGCGCAAGCTGGGGCCAGCCGTTCATCCTGTCGAACGTTCTCTAGCACCCCCAGGAATTTGTAGTGTTTTCCTTCCCCAAGAGCCGTGATGGTAGTTGTCTCGTCCATCCTCATACCAGACTCGTCTAGCACTTGGGCTCCCCTCTTCACGTGTACCACTGAGCACTTTTTCTGATTCCAGTGGAGGCCGATGTCCTGCATCGCTCCTCTAGTCTCTTTCAGCACTCGATTCAGCTTGCTCTCGGAGGCAGCAAAAACCTTGAGGTCGCTTTGATAAGGGTTCAGGCACAGTGTAAACAGTCTAGGACACAAAGCGTCCCCCTGGGGTAGACCCTTCATGAACCTTATTTTTCTAGAAGTCTCTCGCCCTAGCCTTGTTGTAGCTACTACTTTAGTATTCCAGCTCGCACACAACTTGCGTATAACCTCACCCAGCCAGACGGTAAGCCTGTGTACGTCAGTCATTGCGCATAACCAATCATGATCGACGGAGTCGTAGGCTTTGCGCACGTCAATCCATGCCATACTTAAATTCCGTTTGCCTCTGTGACAATCCAGCATTACTGCTCTATCGATTAGCAAATTATCCATCGTACCGAAACACCCTGATTTCGCTCCTCTTTGCTGGCCTTCCATCAGGCCATAATGTTCAAGGTGTTGGTCCATGGGTGCCAGGAGGCAAGATGTAAACCACTTATACATGTTATTCAGACAAGTAATAGGTCTTTGATTTTCACTGAGGAACTCGCCTTCTTTCGGAATGAGGGAGGTTTTCCCTTCAGAAAACCACTCGGGGTAATCTTCGTCGCTCTTAGAAACTTCTTTGAAGCTCTCGACCACACCCTCGTGCAGGGTGCTAGCACGTTTCCACCAAAAGTTAGTGATTTTATCAGGCCCTGGCGCACTCCAGTTGCGCTTCTTGGACAGGACTTTGACCGCTTCCGCTACTTCGAGAGCCCATTCGTCGCCTGTCGGTGGTGGTACTTGCTCGTGGATCGCGAGCTTTAGTTCCTGCAACCAGGCCGCGTTGTTATTCCCAGTCCCCCTCTCTTCCCACAGCTTTCTTCAAAACCCGATCGCCTCTTCAATGTTTTCAAACATTCGCGAATCATCTCGAGCACGTTTTCCAGGATCTTTATATCTTGGCCGCTCATTCTCTGGGTCCTTCTTCAACATCTCACTCAAATTCGCATTATTATTATTATTATTATTATTATTATTATTATTATTATTATTATTATTATTATTATTATTGATTATATCCTCCAGAGGATATAGTTTATCAAAATGTCACTTACTCTGGAGCTGATGAGGGGTTTCAATGCCACAGGTGTCGATGAGATGCTCGATATCCTGTGGCATGACTGGCTCACGATTGAAGCGCCCCCTTGTGTCTTTTGTATTTAATAAATATCGTTTTATTGATGACGCAAGGGTCGGAAAAGTCTGTCTTGGACTGGGTAAGTCGTTGCATAGATGCTGCAAGGAAAAGAATATGAAGACACAATTACTTTTTATGACTTCACTTCAATCACCTACTTTATGGCGAGGGCTCACCTTTGGAGGACACATTGACCGCTATTTTTTGGGTCTGCCATACACAAAGGGATATAATTGAACACAGAGAATAAATAAATAAATAAATAGAACTCACCCAAGAGCACACTCCACTGAAATACAACGAGAGGATAGTGCTGTAGGAATAGCCCATGTCGGACAGACTTTGGCTAAAAGCTCGCAGCTTGTCTGCCGACACGGGCAAAACAGTCTGATGGGGGAAAATGGCCTCATGCCACGACATATAGGCATCTCTTGCCCTCACTGTAGAATCCAACTACAAGGAAGTGGAAAACATTTCTCTTAGGACCTGACTCGGTTATTTACCAGCGACCAAACGGATTAACTTAAACTTATTACATTCCCATTAAATCAAAATACTAAATACAGTTCAACAGAGCTTAGCTAAAGAGCACATTGAAATTAAACGACGGGTGGGTTTCCCTTTATTCGGATCATCACACTCAATAGACGATGTTTTCCCGCACTCATTTTCCCCAGCTGTATCAACGAGGCTATGATATTATAAATTCGTCCTCTCGATCGTCACGTACTATAGGAACATTAACACCCCATCACCTTATACTTTGAGGTTAAAAGATATCAATATGGGCGGACACATATACCTACCACTGACGGAGTCAAAGATGCGAGTCGCATCTTTTTGGCTTCAGTCAATAAATTTTCGCCACTTCTTTTTTTTGTTGCTACTTCCTCTAGGTAGGCTGTCATTTTCTGGGATATTATCTTTCCGGATGGCACAACATCGACAACTGTAAAGCAATAGCATGCCTTTACCACAGGACCATATTTCAAAAGTAAACGTGAATTTCCAGGCCATTTTAGCCAATAACAACTTCCTGGCCAAGTGCATGGAGACTGATATTTTGTTGCTCTTAGTTCCAACAGTTCTATTCAGATACTTCGCCGTATTGTATCGTTGCTCTAATACAGCTCAAGCCCCTCATTTGGCAACTTGTACTATTTGTCCCCTCATTACATTCATTCTGAAATCACTGATAATCTCTGACATCTGATTGGCTGTCTGCTGTGTGAATTTTCTATGAATCGCATTACTTTTTGGCTCTAACTCACATTTCCTCTAAATTGTGTCATTTCTGTTGTCCTAAATCGCTTCATTTTTGCACTGTCTCGCATCATTTTACTTTCGATCACAAAATGAGTCCAAGGCACCCTGTGACTCCCACTTTTGAACAAACCCACTTCTTCATCACTATGAATTACTATTGACGTAGTTATGCTATCTAAAAATGGCTGTAATACAATGTTAATAGAATTTTTTGTCATTCCATTTTGATCTGAAATTATAGGTGTGAATCGAACTCGCGCTGCGTGTTCGTCACAATTTAGAATCACGCGTATCATTTGAGACCAACTTCGGTCCACTCGTTTTCAAGTAGCATTATTAAAATTAATTGTACCAATGTATCTGAAAATCAAGGTTATTTCCAATTATACCTTTCTCGTGAGGCGCATCCCCCATTTTTTTCGCGTCAGTCACATGTTTTATCGCAGTACTGCTCTGGCCTAGCAATATGAACAAAAAAAACACATAGGTTATAAAAAATGGGTGTGTGATCATTAGATTACATGTAATTTCAATACGATACTGAGAAACACTGACGTAAATGTTATTGACATTTTTGAGGAAGAGTTATGATAAAAAGGATTGGAATGGTGTCTTCAGGAAACAATGGTCTCATCACGTCTTCAATTTTATTAGGTTTAATAATATTATACATAATTCTGGTTCAATGAAACTGTCAGTCAGTAGTTGTTAATAACTTAATTGTAGTACTTTCTAGACGGACTGTGGTTAAGCAAATAAAAGTCGTGAACACTTGAGGCACATTTGGCTACGAAGAAAGATGATGTCTCGTCTGCCTTTGGATGCGAAGTAGCTAGTTGAGCAAGTTGCTCCAGTTAATGCCAGATTTCAGTCGTTGTATGGACTCGCGTTTTATGTGCTTAATCTTCTGATTACATCAGTCGTAAAAACCAGAACTACGGGAACAGTTGTTTGTAGTTGTAAAGAAACTGGAGTTGTCTACATTACTTTAACAACATACAGAGAAGGATTTAAGCTTAAGGTATCAGCCACCCTTCAGGACAGTCCGCGCGCGGAGCGCTGTAGCGTTAGTTGTTTTCATAAAAACCCCTATAAACCGTATATTTTTTAAAAGCTTAATAATTCCAGATTATGGATTTGAACTAACAAAAACGATTTACTTAAATGTGTTTCGAAATTGGAACGCTTTGTGTAAAAGTACACGTCTCTATAAATCATGTTCCACTCCCGCCGGAAATAAACGGAAGAAAACAATTAACACCGCATTCGCTTCTCAACACGTTCCACTTAAAAACCGTGTCTCAGATTTTTGACAAGTGCGTTTGTTTTTCTTTTATTAGCAAATGAAGTTGGGGAAGGCAATTAGTCAACACTCCCTGTGGAAAAAAAGCTCTAGCTTTAAAATGAAAAGGTGTATTAAAATTCGCAGACACGGTTTTGTAGAAGAGATATATGGCATCACTCTGGCCAAATTTTAGCCAAATTGATTGAAAGGCTGCCGACTTGGAGTTTAAAACGTACGAGTCGATCGGCAAAATTTGCGTTCGGAGATAAAATAGAAAATACATTTTTGGCGGCATCCTACCTGGAATGAGATTATAACACCTAAATGTTTACTCTGATTGATATCAGAGAGGGATCAATTTTCTCTAACAATAGGACTTTGACAGGTAACTTGTCACAGGAACAAACTTTTTATTGCTATCAACATCTTCAAGTGAACAGTTTAATTCTCCGTTGGAAAACTTCCACTCTTTTACACCACGAGAAGCACAGTTTAATTCTTTCTCGAGCAAAAGTTTTGCCTCTCCTTCGATCTTTTTTGTATGATTCACCGAGGCGTTTTTGTTGACGGCGCCAGGCCAAGGAAACTAAAAAACTTTGAAGGCGCCGAATGTCCACCACCGATTGCTCGAAGGCCAAGAACTGAGGCCCGGTATATTTCAAACGCTCTGCTCTTCTCGGAAGAATTAAAAACAGAATTTTTCTTGTGCGACGGACAGCTGTCATTCTCGCACTGGATTCTCCAGGTAGAACCAAGTCCATGCTTAGTCGCTACATTTTCCATGACTTGGACTCTTACCTGGCAAAATCGACAAGATACAGACTCGTCCAGTTTCTCAAGCAGCTTTTCGCTCGATACGATAGCTCGACCGCTTATTGTTTTCCACGTTCCATCAGCAGATGGGGTGGATTAGCTTAATTGGCTTTCTTCATCTGGCTCTTCAAGCTGGATTTTGGAGCGGCTTGCACTCTCGGCAACTGCAGCAACTTCTCTTGCTGATAAAATGAGCCTTTGTCGCTCTCTGCCAATTTTGCGGACCATTCTTTGTCAAACTCGCTCTTCGATTTCGGACACGAGCTTTTCTTTTTTTTTTTTTGGCAGCATTTTCACCGAAGCAAACGCTAAATATCCACGAAGAATACTAAAGGCTATAAACAACGCGAAGACAATTCGCACGTGTTGTGTCGAAGAACGCACTCGGTATCACGTTACTAGTTCACAGGCAAGTTAATTGATATATGACACGGGTATGACAGATCTTGTCAACGATCAATTAAGATAGTTAACGAGAAAAAATCTTTTACCCCCGATATCTTTCGACAGAAATAATATTTTCTTCTGATTTTTTTTTTTTAAAAGAAAGCTCTCAAGCATACCTATTTGAAAACGTTGAAATCTCAAATATGGAAAAATGGCAATTTTAAGGGTGGCTGATACCTTAAGAGAAACATGTTTATCTTGCATTCGCCTTTCAAACGCGACACCGGTTGAAAAATAAATATAAGGGAAGGAAGGATTTAATTCGATTTTCCTTAACACTTCAATACCACACTATTTTCCTCATGAAATGAAAAGTACTTTTGTTCATCGTCCGTCATTGAATTTTTACCTAATTTTGACTTGGAGCGTTCGTTTCTTTTGAGGCCTGTGGTTCATTTTGGCAGAATTGACGGATTATCCTTGTAAACCTTGTTCATGTCAGACGTTGGAAAAATTGTGGTTTGACTCTTAAATCGCCTGTCTTTGAAGTCTATTTGCATATTCCTCATCTTCATCGGAAAGTAAAGTAACCGTACTACAAGGATTTATTGCTTACTCAACTGACTGTCTAGTAGCCCTCGTGGCAATCAATTTAACTGCAATTTAACTCGATAAATGTAAACTTTCGGCTCTTGATTCAGCTAATAGGGACCTTAAGATACGAGGACGGGACAAGCTACGACGGCTACCGGAAGTAAATTTGCACAACGAGGCATGCGCACACGAAGCCCAAACTCGTGTTCTTGCCGTCCTGGTCTCGCCGAGGACGCCATTCAGCCTGTTTTGCCGTCGTCTGGAAAACGTGAGTATTCGCGGCTTGTTTTCACCTACAATAAGGCGATATCGACTCCCTTTTCAGATATTCTGACCCTGGTGTTTCTTAAGATCATATTCTTCACGATTTCTGTCGGAAATATTTCGAAATGAGAAAAAAAGGCCATAATTTATGTTCATCATTGTTTGTTTGTTTTGCAGTCGCGACCATGAATGTTCCTGAGTGCCCAGTGAAGAAAAGTAAATCAGTGTAAGTGAAGTTAAAATAGATCCAGTTGCAGTGGAGTAGCAATCGAGTGGAAAAAGGTTCAGTGAAGGTTTCTTTGACTTGTACCTCCTGACAGTCCGGCGGTGTTTACCTTTTGCTCATTTGAAAAGCAATTTCATTTTTTAACTAAAGATTTATACGCCTGAATTGGATTCTAATATTTTTAGGAAGCCAGTGGTATGGAGTTCTTTTCACGATGAAATGTGCCGGGAAATCATGGTTGTTGGTCCCTTCACTGGAACAAAAAAGAGCCCTGTAGCGAGAGGAAAGAAAAGGGAAGAGGTCGCTGAAAACTTGAACCAAATTGAAGCTGTTTATTTCACAGTTGACAAAAGGGCAGTTCGAGATCGCTACAACCTTCTCGCGTGGCTAAAGAACTGAGGAGCAAACTGAAAAAAGAGAAAAAAAAAACAGGTGGAATTGAAACCGGCATGAGCAGCATTGAAGTGGCACTAGAGGAGCTTAGTGTGTTGTTTCTGTATTCTTGTATTTTGATGTCATTATTGCAAGTAAAAATAAAAAAAAATCATCTGGAGATTTTGGCTTCTTCAAGAAGCTCTCATCGCATAGTAGAATAAATTCATCGTCGTCTATCACAACGTCTAAATGAGCTTTTTAGAAGAAAGGTCCTAGCGTCTTTAAAAAGGTCGACATATTTGTTTGTGAAAGAAATATCGCCGTTGCCGTCCCAAGTGAAAATTGTTTGCTCTTAAGTATTTTTTTTTTGGCGGGCACGACGGGGCTCGACCTAGTCTTCCTCATCCACCCCCGTCGCCGTCCTGGCTCCCCGTCCTCGTATCTTAAGGTCCCTAATTAGTGAACCGTAGCGTTTGCATGTGTGTCATTACTTTTGCGATTACATTTACTTTTTTTGGTCATTTTGACGTCTATCGAATACTGGAAAAAAAGCTGTTGCAAGTGTTTGCTTTTCAAATGGTGAGATGGTATGGCTGCTCATTCACCAATGTAAATGAACAATCAGGAGCAATGCTATTTCCTTTAATATTACCGGATGTTGTTAGCCAATGTGCATCATGTTCATTTGGATCATAGCAACATCATCGAGCGTTTTGCCGTGAAAATTGATAGCTTTTTCTCCAAGCAGAGAATTTGAATCTATCAATATAAAGTTGCCAAGACCACAAAATCTTCATCTTGCGCTTGATTGACTACACGATGAAATGTTTAATTGGTAGCTGACAATCCACAATTCGAGTAAATTTGATGATGCAAGGGTGACTTACTGCTACACCCCCAATTGCAAAATATTCTTTACATCTCTGCCCAGTTTTAAATGTTATTATGAAGAACAACCTAAAAGCAGTGTTGATGGATCTAATTGTTTACCTTTGCTTTACACCGCTGAGGACTGACATCGTTCAAGCGCAAATTTAAACAAAACTAGTGTCTTCTGCCTTGAAAACATGGCAATGACGGTGTCAATTTATGTCCCTTTTTAATACAGTGTATGTACAATTTATCATGTAGTATGGTGTATTGTATTGTATATAGCCTGGACATCTACAGTATGGTTTCTGGCAGCACTTTAGAGAATGAACATGCATTTGAATAAATTGATTAGCAGGGGATCAAAATATTGAAATCAAACTCTAATTTACTCTTTATTACCACAGGGCTCAAAATAAGGGACATCAGGTCGCCAGTCATGTTACGGTGGCCATGTTGTGTTTGCAATGAAATTGGTTGAGTTAAATCTGTTTGTTTGGATACTTTATTGCTCTTGGGGTCGCTACACTAACTTCGGAGCAATTGCCACAAGCAATCTATCACCATAAGTAACTGTATTAGTCATTGGGATAACTAGGAGTTGGAATCACTAGAACGAACGACCTGGAGTGTTATGATGTAACCGCTCATTGATATACACCAAAGCAAGGCCATTAAGGGATTTGTAGACGACCCTAGTAGGCTAAACGTACTGATCACAAACTTTAATTGAGGCAATTGGGTCAGCAGGTGACAATGCGAAGAGAAATGTATTATCTCAGTCTTTGTCGGGATTGCAATCAAGGATATTGCATAAATTCCAACTCAAGATAATATTATTATCTAGCACACAAACTGAGATTTTCTAAAGCAACAGCGCCATTCCTGTTACCCACAATGATTTAGAGCTGGGTGACATCAGCATACATCACTGAGTTGAAGCCACGTGAGGATATACTTTACTAATAATCTCACTTACTCTGCAGTTGGTGAGGTGTTTCGATACCACAGGTGTCGATAAGATGCTCGACATCCTGTGGCATGATTGGCTGATGGTTGAAACGACCCTTTGTGTCTGTGGTGTTTTGGAGATACCGTTTTATAAACGACAATAGTGTGGGGAATGTTTTCCGGGGATTCTCCAAGTCATTACACAAGTCCTGCAAGGAAACATATTGAGACACAATTATTTTAATGACCCTCTTCAATTCAATCACCTACTTTATGGCAAGGGTTCAACTTTGGAGGACACATCAATCGTTATTGTGAGAGAACTGCAAATATTCAGCCTTGTCATTTCCAATCCACAAACCACTATTTTTTGGGTCTGCCATACACAGAGGGAAATTATTGAACACAATAAATAAATACATAGAACTCACCCAAGAGCACACTCCACTGAAATACATCAATATTATGGTACAGTCTGTATGGTAAGAGTAGCCCATGTCCGACAGACTTTTGTAGAAAGCCCGCGATTTGTCTGCTGACACGGGCAAAACATTTTCCTGTGGGAACAGCGCCTCATGCCATGCCATGTAGACGTCCCTTGCCCTCACAGTTGAATCCAACTACAGTGTACAAGGAAATGAAAAACAATAACTCTTAGGACCTGACTTTAATAACATGTAGTTCTTTATGAGCGACCAAACAGTTAACTATAACTTATTAAGTTCCCATTAATCAAAGTACCAAATACATTATAAACATAGATTAGGTAAAGACCACATTGATGGCGGGTGCGTTTCACTTTATTCCAATCATCTCACTTAGTACATTTTTTTTTTTTTATAATTTTACGTTTATTGACAAAACACATATTACAGTCGCAAAATTTAAAACTAAAAGAAAGTATATAACGATATTACAGATTGGATCAAAATTGCATAAAGACGAGAAAGAATAATACAGCAGTTGTAATAATACGCACAATAACGATAGACCTGCTAATTAACAGATCATTCCGGAAAGATGGATACTTACCGGTACTAACTAATTGAAGGAGGGGGTTTTTCGAAATCGTATCTCCAACTGATTTTAGCCTTAAATTCATCCAAAGATAAATCTTTAGGAGCTAACTTACTTATGTACAAGTAATATTTAGCAAACAAAAGAGTAAAATCGAGCTCTTTGACAACTGCTGATGAGCTTTGATTCTTTCTATCATTATTAAGACCAAAAATTAATTCACTTGAGGATGGCGTAAAGGAGGTGGCAAAGATAGAAATTACTACCGGCTCTTGATTAGTAAAGATCAACATAAAATAAACACTAACATGAAATGCGAAAGCGACCTCCTGCCTGAAATAATACTTGCATGGCATCATTTCTCCCGTGTGAAAAATATTTGCAGAGATAACAAACTAAGAGAATTCTACTTTAAACTCTTACACAGAATTGTCGTCACAAAAAGAGAACTGTTCACGTATGGTATTGCAGAAAATGCACTTTGTCCTTACTGCGGACAAAATGATTCAGTAATTCATACTTTTTGTAACTGCCACTGGACGAAGTGTTTTTTTCAAGAAGTAATCATGGTTCAACGTCGAAAATGCCATCACTCAATAGATTATGCTTGTTCCCACTCATTTTCCCCAGCCCTATCAACGAGGCTATGACGTTATGAATTTCTTTTCTCCTTCTCTACGCACCAATAGGCACATTAACAACCCATCACCTTCTACCTTGAGTTAAAAAGATATCAATATTGGCAGAAAAATATTCCTACCACTGATGGAGTTAACGATGCCAGTCGCATCCTTTTTGCCTCTTTCAACAAACTCTCGCCCTTTCTTTTTCTGTTTTCATCTTCCTCTAGGTAGGATGACAGCCTCTTAGACTTGATCTGTCCGGTTGGCACAACATCAACAACTGGAAAGCAATAGCATAATTTTGTGTCAAACAAGACCATATAATTCAAAGGTAAACACAAAGAATTTCTGGGCCCTTGAGGTCAACGACACTTTCCTGGCCAAGTGCATGGAGATTGATGTTTTGTTGCTTTGAGTTGCTGTACTGTAGTTCTATTCAGTTATTCTGCCATATTTTGAAGATTATTACGTTGCTCTGATGCAGCTCAAACCTCTCATAATATGGAGAAACTTCACTTGTCTTATGACCTGACTTAGTTCAGTATGACTGACAGTACGGATTAATATCTTAATGGCATTTCCATTAATCAACTTTACTACAGGTTATCCTGCACTGTGGTTTTTCCCAGCTTTATCAACGAGGCTATGACTTTTTTAATTATTTTTTTAACATAAAATGCCATTATTGAAAATGTGTGCCCTCATTCTTTAACTACCATAAATAGGGACATTAACCACAGATCACCATATAGCTTGAGTTAAAAATATATCTTTGGCAGCGTCCACTTTACAGTTACTGTTTAATAATAATAAAAATAAATAACAATAAAAATATTAAAAATAATAATAATAAGAAGAAGAAGAAGAAGAAGAAGAATAAAAAAGAGCTTAAAAACACGTTAAAATTTTTTACAATGCATGGAGCTCTCCCTGCTTTTTACAATAAATTATTTACCTAATCAGTAACAATAAATATGGTTAAAAAGCAAAGTTTTTAATCTTGATCTACATGTTAAAGAGTCAACTGTAGAGAACTGTTTGATGTAATGAGTAGGTCATTTCAGAGCTTTGGTGCAATCACTAAGAAGGATCTGTCGCCATACAGTGTAGGTAACTGTTCTAGTGTTTGGAATAGACAGCAGGTTTAAGCTGCTTGACTGTAGTAAACAGTGAGGCATGCAGTTTATACATGTAGGTGAATCTTTCTGTCTCATTAGGGATTCTACCCAAATGGTGATCTCTATTTTCGCTGTGTGCACTATGTTACTTAGAATATGCGAAGAACTTTAGTGACAACATGGAACTACACATACACAGTATCCTAACTTAGACATTGGATGCTTAATTATATTCCATTAATTAGATGCCTGGACCTCTTCTCGGAAGAGACCACATCCTGTGGTTAAACTCTTGTAAACCACCTCCTCCCGTAAGCTACCACTCAGTCTTTGCATTTTCGGTGGTTGCTTATGGGAGGCTCAACCATAACACAAATAAGCTTTAACTTGTGCAAATCTAGAAATCTATACTTTACTGATTTTAAAACAAAAAGAAAAAATAAAATATTATAATAATTCAAATTAGATCACAGTAATAGAAGAATATTGTTACCCATACACGTTCGTGTGCATTTCCCTTGACTGAAACTGTTTACAAACTGCGTCTCTCAGTTCCATCTTGCAGACAAATATTTCCTGGGAAGTAACAGCCACCAAGAATTACCGTTGACCGTCATACTTTTCATTGATCAAATGAACAACGCTGCTCCCCTAGCGCATGCGCAGTCGTTTTTCAGATCACTTTTATTTTAAAAATTTTAATTTCGCCCTTTCGTAACGTGGTAGTTTCCGTAGTGTAGTGGTTATCACGTCCGCCTAACATGACAATATAGCGACGCGGAAGGTCGCCAGTTCAAGCCTGGCCGGAAACACTTCTTTTAAGTTTTTTTTTTGTTTTATTTTTTTACTTTACCTTTTGTATATATACTTTTGTATTACTTTCATTTTGTCGAAACAAACAAACAAGCACAAAATAAAAAAAAAAGATTCGCAATGTTATGCCCTAGTACGTAGGGGACTGGGCGCATACGTTTTTTTTGCGGGGGGGGGGGGGGGGGAGGGGGGGCGCTAAATACAGTTTCGCTCTATATTTGCTTGGTTTCTTCGCCAGTTTTCTCTAACAATAATATAATAAATTGGGTCAAAAACACAACACCTTGAATGAAAACAAGAGATGCCATTTCTTTTATTTCTTCTTTAAACCTCGACAACATTTCACGGGTTAAACCACTAAGCGGGCAAGCCCAGACACGTTGCGCTTCTCGTTTGGCCCGTTTCCTTTGAGTCCAACTTGTGGAACGCCTATAACATCTCGCCGAAAACACCTGCTCTTTTAAACCCCTTTTCCAGTTTTTTTCTTTTTCACTTTTTTTCTCTTCTCTTTGATATTAGGGAGCTTTTGTATCGACGACGGCGACGAGCAACAACGTCGAACCACCTTCACCTTCTCCAGTTTCACTGAACATCCAAGTCCTTTAAATCAGGGGCACCCAACGAGAATATAGTTCAAAAAAACCACTTAAACATAGCATTTTTGAACGTATTTTAGTATTTTAACGCCTATATAGGCATATTTTTATCCCCTAAAATTTTTCATCTGTTGGGATTTCCTTGCAGAAAGTTTAGTAAAATTATAGGGATCAAAACTTACCTTTTCCAAAATTTCAGCCAGAAAAAGGACTGCCGAAAATTCTAGGTGACCTTTTTAGGGTAAAAATCCGTTAAAAATGGGCAATTATACCATGTTTTAGATGTTCGAAAATCCTAGGAGAGGCAGGCAAGCACGAAATGTTACAGCAAATGTTCCCAAACTGAATTCTCGGACCTCAAATCGTATTCGGAACAGATATTTTCCAAAAAATGACGTTGGGTGCCCCAGTTTATATAACACTAGGTTGTCCTCCAGGCTATCCAAAAAGCCAAAACAAATCATGGAATTTTTAACTCAAGGTTCCAGGGTGCTAAAGTCTGGAATGATATAAGTGATGACATCAAGCTCCTCTCCCTGAAACCTTTTAAGAAAAAGTTAATTAAAAGTCAATTCTTATTGATAAATATTAATTGCAGATTTATCAACACCATATTTTTTCTGAATTTTCGTTGTTTAATACTGGCATACTTAGCTTTCTTTTGCTGCCTTTCTTTTCTTTCTTTTTTTTTTTTTTTTTTACAAGTTTTTTTTTCTCCTTTTTTTTTTGTGTGTGTGTGTGTTTTGTATTTGGCTGTGTGTGGTGTGTGGTACAATCATTTATTAATAATCTAAGTAAGGCTGCACTATCATGACTATTATCATAATGGGCAGCCTGTACTCTCTCCATAATATATAATGATTTGTTTGGATCATGTAAATTAATGTAGGGTGCAAATAAAGTTGTTGTTGTTGTTGTCAAAAATGAATTCGGCGCGCTTTTTCCAAAAATATAGCTTTTATTCCAATTCACTCAAAGTGTCAAATGTAGGCGGATTTCCCTAGCCTGAGAAAACAGGCGACATTTTCACGACGCCACCACTAGTTTCCGCGCGAAATGACATCTGAGAAAAGAGCGCAGAAATTTCATACTGATGACGCGTCACTACCCAGATCTGGGTTAGGCTTCTGATTGGTATTATGATGCATATAAAAGATGGCTTACGAACTAGAACCGAAGAAACTTTCTAAAGAAACACCTTAAGATCCTTCAGCCCTCTCCTAACTGCAAAGACACCTTCCCTGTGCCGCCCGTTATTGCTTACAGACGTCACGAAAGTCTTCGTGACCTTTTGGTACACTCCACGCTACACAACAACACACCTTACAAGCAACTACCAGCCGGAGTTTACAAATGCAACCATCCACGCTCTCTCAGCTGTCCTTTTCTCCAGGAAGGCCAAACAAATTACATTTTTACCCCAACTAATGAACAAAGAAAACTCATTGACCACTTATTCTGCAAATCAAAAAATGTTTCCACAATTCAATGCAACAAATGTAAATGCCAGTACGTCGGAGAGACCAAACGCCAACTAAATGAACGATTTGGAACGGAACACCGCCAATCTATCCTGACCCATCAACAACTCAGTGATCCCACTCCTGTCTCCTTACATTTTAATCAAGCTGGACGTTCAATCAACGACGTCATTCTAATCCCACTTGAACTCATACGCAGCAACCTTGATGCAGTGTGAGAAAGGCTCGAGAAGCTCATTTAATACACAACAGGAACACATTATCTCCTCTAGGAATAAGCTCACTGATATATTGTACCCATAACAATCCATTGTTTTTATTGTCAGATTTTCAAATTCTTATTTGTAACGAACTTTTAGTTTTATTTCATTTTTCTTTTAGCCCCTGAAAAAGGTTTGTTTTCGAACCGAAATATTGAGCAATTTGTTTAAATATATGTTTTTTTTATTCCTTTGTTTAAGTCTTCATCGCCATCGCCTTACCGTAACCGTACGGACCACTTTGCCGTTTCATATTTTTCTACATTATTCCACACGTAGGCGAAAAAAAATGGCCGCCTCTTTGGTCAAAGGCTGCTGACCTTTTTCCGCAAAGTTGCCGTTGTAGAGAACTAAGAGTTATGACTATTGGGCACATCAGATGAGTGTGGTTGTACAACATACCCCCTTCCCCCTGAGTCAAGAGTGCAGTTAGCATTTCATCCTCTTCCCCACTCCCCTAAAAAAAATCAGAAGACAGACTAAGCGAGACTAATAGAGAAATCAATCAATTAATCAGTAAAATCTACATCTATACAAGCAACGTTGTATTAACATAGACAAAAGCAAGCTACACGGTTTTTACTGCGTCTAATACTTTGGGAATAGGGAATATAGGGACTGCAGCAATCCCCATTTGCGCGTTTTCTAAAACAAAGGCTTTAGGTTTTATACCAGGGATATCTCATCAAATGAGCAACTGAACTGGAAGTATAGTTCTATACAATTTGGCCAAGAAACTAGCCTTTCTACTCCAGCTTTCTTTAGTTTCCTTTTTCGGCTATGCTGGGATACACGGCTGGGTTATGGCTGTGATGAAAACGGATAGCATCGATAGCGATAGGCTCGGTCTACAGTTGAAAAATCCAAAACGACCTTATTTCGCTATTTTTATTCCGTCGATAAACAGCTTGAGAAGCAATATATGTATATTTCTATCTTAAGTTATTTTCCACCGAGACAGGGTCTGACCTCTTGATCTTTCACATCCGTTTTAGTCTGTTCATTTAGATTAGAATGTTTACGGAGTAAAGAATTTTTAACACAAAATACAAAAGATAAGCATGAACATGAATCTTATTGCGAAAACGATGACTGATTCCATACATTATTGGTATCGCTTTTTTAGTTGTTTTTATCTTGCATGTCAAACAACTGAAACACGCCATGGTCACGTGACTCGGGCGGGGGGATCTCCATGAAAAGTTTTGTAAGAAGCATCATTGTTCTTGAAACAAGCACCTCCTTAGAATGTCGCCAATATTGTTTCTCCAGATGGATCATCTCAGCTCTTCCCAGTTTTTACTACTTCTGTTATAAAGAATTTAACGGTATATATACGGTAGCCTACTTTACGAAAAGGGACTTAGCAAAATTGACCGCTGATCCCCCAATGATGGCTTGGTGTTATTCCCCAGTGGCCATAGGGACCACTAGAGGTTAAGGGGGAGGGGAGGATAGCTATAGTTATGAGCCGGATTGTTGAGACCATTGAAGAGATCGACTGGCTATAATCGTGACATAATGAAAAATTTTCCCTACCCCTAAATAGCCTACATAGCTTATCCTACCATATCTGTCACTGTCCTGTCTCTCCACATTCCAATATATTTTGAGACCGCTAGCCACGCCAGCCTCCTTACAAAACGTCTAGGAGGAGGTTACCTAAAAGCTAGTAGCAATGATTAGTTTTCGCACTCGGAGGTGACGTGATCTCTCACCTGTATTAAAATCATTTGTAATCCAATCGGCCAATCAATTCCTTTCAATTCCATCAACCCGCAGAAAAGAAAGACATTCGCTTGTTAAGAGCGAGTGAGACACACCGTATCGGTGCCAGTTAGGCTACAAAGCGTGGAAATAACCATGAATTGTTGGAAGAGTTTATTTCTTGCTTTCATTTCTTGTGTTCTCACAGTTCATGGTAAGTATATCTTTTTGTTTGGATTTAATCATGACGTGTGGACCGTTACGAACGTGATGAATAACTTAACGAGACGTAATCGGTGTACTTCGTTACGTGCTTTCCGTGTTGAGAAAACAGAAAATTGAGTCTTAGCAGCTACTTTTCAGTGTCAATTCAAAGTATTCTTCTTCTGAAGACTCTGAAGGGGTTAGATATAACAATTCACTCCATCCTGATCAGAATTCAATGACAATATATATATATTTTTAACTTAAAATTTCACTATCCAATGTGTTTTTGTCAGTGCTGAACTGGACTCAGTTGAAGTCAGTCATGACGAACCCCAAAGAACGTCTGCGGTGGAGGCTATGGTCATGCGTTCCTGTACTGTCTTCGTAAAGCGTTGTTCATCTTTTTCTTGATCGTCTTTTATCTGAGTAGCTAACAAACATCTTGAACGCTCTCTGCTAAGCTCCGATTACTCCTAGTTCTAATCCTATGACATGACCATTCAAATAAAAGCTGCTGAGTGATTCTTTTGCATTGTTATCATCACCTTTTCGGAATTCCCAAAGAATTGCAGTTTTATTAAATATTGACCGACACTGAACACTAGCTCTGTTTGAGACACGGCACGCTTCTTTGGAATCGAATATCCTTTAGAAGTCTTAAATATCAAAACCAACAAAAATACGAAATAGTTTTAGCAATAATGTAGGTTTCTCTCCTTATCCGTTTTAAGTGTAGAGTGATTGCAGAAAATCAGATTTCACCCTTGTAGCATTTGCCGATTTCTAAAACTTGAAAAAGATACACTGCTCTGCTAATTCATAGAATGTAAGGAAGACAGAGAATGATTATATTTTGAGTATCGTGCAGGACCAACGAAAATGGTTTGTTGCCTCGCATCGCACTCTCCTACTTTTGTTTTCTTTCCGCACTTCAATAAAGTTGAACAATTCAAGAAAAGGGTTCGAAACTTTGTGTACTGGTGAAATACATGAAAAAAGCCAGAGGAAGCCATTTCCGCCTAGAAAAAGTGAAATTTCTTTGGCCAATTTTACACTAAGGGTAGCCTAAAGAAACTCGTAAGCCAATGGAAAATTGCCAAGGCACCCTTGCGGAACTGTCGTAAACAGCAGGACTAGGACTTTGATTATCGCGCTGAAACGGTTCAAATCTGAAATTTCAGCTGTATACTTTATAAAATAAAATTATATGGATACGCTTTAGCCGCGCAAACTTCCGGAGAATTTAAATTTAATCTCGCATATCGGAGGCAAAGAGTTTGACCGACAAGATTGGCCGTTTCATTAATGAATACATCTCTAGATAGTTTTAACCTGTTGTAATTAAAATAACAGGGTCAATCTCCGCTTGGAGGACCCGTGCCACGTGTTCTTGGCCTCTGATCCGTAAATGTGCAATACTTCAAGACTCACGCATGCTGGTTACGATTTCTAATCTCGTTCGTTTTTCATTTATCGTCGTTATTTTGCAGAGAATGACAGAGAAGTATAAGAAATGAAATAACGCCCTTCTAAAAGAAGCTGTATCAGTTAGTCATTCCCGCGGTCAGCGTTGCTGCGGTGTCGCTTAGGATCCCTTAAATAGCTAATCGTGATCTAAGAAGAGACCATCTTAGTGCTGTCATAAGCGATATTTACAGTTGTATCATTTCCCAAAGAACAAGCTGCCAAGTGATTGGGAAACTTAGTGGCTGACCAGAAGGGAGGCCAGGACCTTTTCCCATTACACGTATCCGGCAGAAACGACAGTTTTCTAGTATTCTAACGACTTAATGATTTGGAACTAAAATGATTACCACTTAAGGATCGTATTTAAGTACGTAAAGTTTACTCTAGAGACAATTATGTGTTGTGCTAAGGAGGGAGGGAAATAGTTAGCTCCGATTTGTAAAAGGGACTGGGGAAGTTAATGTTTTGTTTGAAATTTGTTCCTAATTTTTAAGGTCAAAGTGATGAAAATATTGAAGTCATCAGTGACGTTAATGACGACCTACCTATAGAGCTTGGCGATTCGAATCCAATTCACACTGGTGAGTACAAGGGCAATTTCCTAATCAGCCCTTCTTTGTCTTGTCATGGTCACGCAACGTGCGTTACGTGTCGCTACAAGAATGGCTGCGAGGGGGACTGGACCCAAAGTGTGCAGGTAAAGCAGTGCTGGTACATTATAGAGGTGTGGAAGAGCACTCGAATAGACCTCTTTAGCTTGTGTGTTTTGTTTTACCAACTCAGGTATTGTGATGATACTCTTGGGAAGTGTTTCTTTCAACTTTCGTATAATACACGTGCATATGTACGCATAATTTATGAAAACACTAAGGGTCAAATTCCCCTGGGAGCTCTACTGGGGGAAACAAAACATAGAAGCTAAAAAGGTCTATTTGTACTCGTTAAGAGGAGTGGGAAGAGCCTGTGAGAACTGACGTATTTGTGGTTATCAGCAACATGCGGAAATACTTCAGCATCCTCAAGCTATATTTTATCGATTGTGTTTGTTACGAATTTCTTCAGTTGTTCTTTCTTCTGAGACACTAACTCCGCAAAGTTTAAAGATAGTGCAAACCTACGACTTTTGATGATAATTGACGTCATTTTTTTTAACCTTTCAGTAACTCAGGAGCAAGAAGTGCCTCTATTTAAACGTGATATCTCAGGCCATACTGTAGCTCGAGTGCGACGTCACGTTCTAGCGGTTGGTCATTCAAATCAGATCCAGGGTCTCAGGGTCAGACAAGAATGTGACGGAATCCTACTAGAGTGGAAAAGCCTGCAGTTGCCTTACAGGTATAACTGAACGTTTTGGTTGTAGGATAGAGTATTCAGCTTTTGTCAAAGTACTTGACAAAACCATAAGAGAGCCCTAAACAGTATCTTTCTCTCGGAAATTGAAAAGTTGAACAACCCTGTATAATAAACAGAATAAACAGTACCACAAGTAAGTACTGCTCAGTAGCTTTCATTTGAATGGTCACCCCATATGATTTTATCCACAAACTCAAAAGTTAGAACCACTTTGTACAGCATAATAAACAGTACAACAGGAAAGTACTGCTCAGTTGCTTTCATTTGAATTGTGACGCCAAAGGAATTTATCCACAGCCTAAAAATTTAGAATTGTCTCGCCTTAGTCAGTGCAAACAGTATTAGAAAAAGGTAAGGAAGGATCAGAAGCTTTTAATTAAATGGAAAATCAGTCACCAGTTGATATTGTTAGCGCAGATTGCCAACTTTCTTTTTCAATATCAGTCCAAACAGACGCTCAATAAATGAAGAATTCAAACATTTTAACATTTACCGAAGCACATCGTATTTTCGTGATGTAAACGGAATGAGGCCTTATGTATCTGGAAAGCTGGACAAGTTGTTACAGAGCCGGGAAACAAAGAGCTACAAGGATCTATATCCGACACCGAACACAAACTGGTACTACGCTGTGACAATGGTCAATGGTAATGGGCAGGAAGGGAAGATAGTGCACGCAAAGAAGGTATGACTTAAAAACTTTTGCTCGCTGTGTATGACGCTTCTTTCTTTGAAAAATGGTGTTCAACTGTCACACCTTCTGGTCACCCAATCGCTTCTATTTGGATCGCACGTGGCGGACGCAAAGCGAGAAGCGTGAACGAAAAAAGCACGAAGGGTGATAGGAAGAAACAAAGCGAGAGGGAGAGAGATTCTCCACTCTTTTGCCCTTCCCATCACCCCTCGAGCTTCCCTTGACTAAGAGACGACTTGAAACGAGTGAGGTCAGGGCTCCTGGTGAGGAGCCTATGTTTGTTATTTGTTTTATCAGCCAATGGATGAAAAGATCTAAACATGGACTCTTTGTTTTCCCGCCAAAGAAGACCCTAATATGGAGACGGCATTGTTCGATTGGCCAATCGTGTTGCAGTATGACATTAAAGCGAAGTATCGGTTGATTTCTAGAACGTACATTCTCGGGCATGAAGTTTATTCAGCCGAGCTTTCGCTTAACAACCAAAACCCGCCACGAGCGTTTGTATCCGTTGGACAAACCAATCAAATCGCACTATTTCCGATCTTTGTGTCAGGTCAAACGAAAATCGCTCTGACAAGATTGACTAGTCCAAAAGGGTTGACGCGATTCCGGCAGATTCAAAAGAGAATCTGTTAGTAGGGTGCCTTAAAATCCTAAACTGTAAAAATCACTGCTAGAATTTACCTCAGTGTTCATGTTACATCCACAGGCTATTTTCATAGCATCTTTTCAAAAGTCAGGAACTCTCTTTAAACTTGTCCCAGAGTTCCTAAGTCTGCAAGGCAAGGTCTTACATCACAGCGCTGCGTATAATCCGCGTCGTAATCAATATCTTGTGACGTGGGACTTTGACGTGGACAACGACAATCTGCCAGATCAGCTTTACGCATTAAGAGTGGACACTGCTGGCAATATAGTGGACAAAAGGATATTAAACTACACTGCAGATATCAACAGAAAAGCAGGTATTTTAGGACAGTTATCAAAGAGGAGAAAAGGAAGAAAAGGAGCCAACTGCATAAAACCTATAGTAAATTAACGAAAAAAACGGGGATTAGTTTTAAAATAAACTATGGTCTGCGAATGGGTAGCCCCGCTGGCAGACTTTTTGTTTTTTTGCCTTGTCAGCATTCTCGTCCCCAAAGTTCGTCGTTTCTTTTGGTCGAGAGGTCTTGTCCATTACAAATTTAGCCCAGTGGCTCTGGGGACGAGAATGGCTCGTCATCTAATCCCCCCCAACTTCAAGAAAGAACACGTGACAAAGCCCTAAGAACGTCTTGCGTAGACTTGGTGGAGGAGTTAAAATGAAGAAAGTGCTTTTTGCAACAGCTGGACACGTGTTTAACTTTCTGTGAAGATGAAAACAATTCTCTTTGGAAAATGATTTTAAGCATGCATGAACTGAATAAAAAAATAAAAATTAGGTGACCTGTAAATTTTCGGCGATTGCCAAGGAAACACTTCCCACCCAGTCACGTTTGAGTGATTTTCCTTTAACTTTTTAAGTTTTCAAACTGTCCTAAACTCACCAACTTACGCATTACAGGGCTCAGTGTTATTCGCTGTGAACAAAAGAAAATCTTAGCCCCGTAATGCAATCTGTCAAGTCCCCAGATCAGAAAATTAGTTTTATTTGTTTGTCTTGATGAATTTCAAACACAACAAAATAAAAGCTTAACTCGAAACACAATTGAAGGTTCTAAAATCCATCGACGTGTTCATAAGGAGTTACTACGTTAAGTGGGATGCATGTATAGCATTTCCTTTCTGAGCTATGAGATTATGGAAATAAAATGGTATCGAAAATTCGTATTTTCACTAATCATGTTACATTATTCCAAATTTTCTAGGCAATCAAGGATGGCCAAGTGTAGCGTACAACGAACAATTCGATGAATATATGATCGCTTTTCAATTCCGTGCGGGATCGTTGCAGTACTTCTTGAACAAATACATTATCTTAAGTCAGAGAGTACAGAGCGCGCGCACGGAAAGAACAGCAGGCCGAACTCTGCTTTTCAAAGCCAATGGACAAGGAGGGCCCACGGATTGGGTTGACGCAATGGGACCATTGATAAAGTATAACTCTGTTACAGGTAGGAACCATCACGATGTTAAAATAGGTAATATATAAAAGTATAAAGATGCACTACGAATCAGGGACCGGAGGCTTGTCCTCTGTTACTGTAAAAGGTGGTTCAAATTTCCGAGTCTGTGGATGAAAACCTATGGTGTGGCATTCAAATAAAAGCTACTGAGCAGTACGTTCCGGTGGTACTGTTTGTTGTGCTGTACAAGGTGGGTTTAACTTGAGTCTGTGAATGAAATCCTACGGTGTGACCATTCAAATGAAAGCTACTGAGCAATACTTCCCCAGGGTACTGTTTATTATACTGTACAAGGTGGTTCTAATTTGTGGATGAAATCCTGTGGTGTGACCATTCAAATATGGAAAGCTACTGAACAGTAATATCCTCTGGTTCTTTTAAATGTTGTGAATGGAATCTTATGGGGTTACATGCAAACGGACGCAACAACTCCCAACATTGTTGCTAAAAGTTTGACTGGTTTCAAACTTTGCGCCACAACTCCCAACAACACACAACAGGGTTTGCAAACAGACTCAATATGTAACATCCAACAGTGTTGGGAGTTGTTGGCCTACAATGTTGCGTCCGTTTGCAAGGGGCTTAATGAATAGCTACTGAGCAGTCAGTAGTTTCCTATGGTACTATCTTTTATACAAGGTGGTTCAAACTTTCTCTCTATGGATTACATGCTAACGAGTAACCTTTCTCAGTTTTTCCCTTAGTACTGTTTGTTTCTCAGTGCGTTACAATTCAATTTTTCCATATCCTTTCTTTTTTAAGGTGGTTATGTAGGCGCTGTTATTGTAGACGGAGGAAGAAAAGAAGTCGTGAGCCTGTTCTTTGACAGGGGAGGAAAAGTGTTTAAAACCGAAGGAATTTGCTCCTTTAAAGGAAACGCATACGAGCCAAATATCTTCTTTGACTCGAAAAGAAACGAGTTTGTCTTCTCTTGTACCGTCGAGAACGGAGTAGTCGCTAAATCTGACTTCACCTTGCGGTCTGGCTTACACATGGTAGTCATCACGAAGAGAACTGCTCGTGGAGCGCATGCGGCTAACACAGAGACCGCTGCAACGAAGAACTTTGTTGGCTACACCAACAAGACGCATGCGCGGACTGCCGGATACTATAATGAACACCTTGATAGGTAAATACTAAATATTTGGATGAGTGTTTTTGTGTTTGTTATCCCAGCTGAATAATTGAATTCGAAACATCACAAAACAGAATCTAATGATTCTGGTAAAATGTGCTACCACAGAGTGTTTTCACATGATTTCACTCCCGCCATATTGGTGTCCCAAAGTAATGTCGAGTTATGAAACAGCAACCATGTTTGCGTCTTAAACCAGTCCTTTGCAATTGGGAGTTGAACTTTTTTCTTATGTAAAAACTTTCTTTTGTTCCAATAAATTTGCGTAGCTGCTAGTCACGCGACTGAAAACGCTCTACAGATAAACGAAAACACTGATAACGACAAACGCACTCTCGCGCGAAACAGAGTTTAGGGAAACGATGAGTTACACGCAGCTGGAAGATATTATTCACTTATCCGCTTGGAGATTAGTGAACGATCATTAACAAAAGATCATTTGTTTAGTCATTATCGATGCACTACCATAATGGTTTCTGTTTTTTATGACTGAATGGTTTTCCTTTACGCCGTAGATTGATTCTGTACTGGGAAGATTCTGACAGTGGAAGACATGTTTTAAACACTGCCTCTGTACTATTGACACGTACAGAGTACATCCGGGAAGTTAAACGGTACAGTTGCTTAGCAACAAAGCAAGTCAGGACACCGGCAGCAGTGTATTCTCCATCAAATAACTATCATTTTCTTTTATGGCAAGAACTAAGTGGGTCTGGGGTAATTGGTGGAGAACTCCTTCAAGGTCAGTGTCTCGAGTTTTCAGTATCAACGTACTCTGTAGTAGAGACATACCATACTTTGAACCTCACTACCTCATTAGTGTCGTCACGCAACGCTATTTGTGGGGACGAGCGTTGCGTGACGACACTAAAAACAGCTGCGTAGCAGACTACCCTGCCCCAGACTCGTACCAAGTCACCACTTATTCATTCACGCAACGGAATATGGAAAGGAAATTTGACGAGCGCAAAGGCGCTTGGGAGGCGTTTTTCTTCCTTACCTCCATTGATGCACGGCGAACTCACTAAGGAAGTGACTGGCTAGGAGTCTGTCCCTGCTCGCTTCCCCTCGCAGTTTACCACGCCGAGAGAACAAATAAAGAACCAATTTCAACGAGGTTTTGGGCCCTTCATCCTTCTAAATAACAGCCTGGGAGTCTGGGTACTACTACTTCATGCAGCTGTTGTACCCAGTTTTATTTGTCCTTCGGGGTTGAAAAGGTTGAATATCTGGAAATTTGATTTAGGCATAGAACCTCGAAAATAATGACATTCAATTTTCGTAGAAGTAACTCTTTCTGATTGTTTCTCAGGCAATTTACGACTTGTGTTTGGCAGAGAGCAGAAGAATCCTGTTTTATTGTACAACGACTTCATTCGAAAAGCGTTTGTCACCTGGCAGGAAGGAGGCGTGCTGCTATCACGACAAATAACCATGGCAACCCGACCACTTTGCACTCCACCATGCGCTCCTCGACAAACTTGCGTAGTAGAGGACAAATGTGTCCCCAATACAGGAAGTAAACTGAAATACTTTTCTTCTTTAAATTTCGTTTAAAAAGAACACAATATTTGAAGTACTATCGCATAGACTCGCTGGATAGGAAAACAATTTTTTTTCCGTTCCAATTTCTTTACAGTTTCGTTATCATAGCCGATATGAGCAGAGCGCAGCTAGTGGACCTTTGTTGGAATTTAGTATAAAATGCAACATTATATATGACTGTGATTAGACTTTTTTTGTTTCGTTGACTGGAAAATTTGTAAAGAACAATACGAAACAATACTACACGACACGATACGATACGATACAGTACAGTACGGGTGTAGTACGGTGCGGTACGATACGTTACCGTGATATGGTACGTTACACTGCATAGTAAGCTCCATTGCGAGGCTACTCCAAAGGAGAGGCGGTATCAAAACTGAAAGCTACGCTAAAGGCTGTCGTTTCTGGGTTTAGCGAAATCACGTGTTGTGTAGAACTTATCAAAGATTATGGGATGGTATTTTAGACAAGCCTGACAAGACTATCAGGGGGAGAGAGGAGTTTACTGATTCTTTGTATATCTTATTTGTGCACTTTAACGCAGGTCTGTGATTTTTTTAACCGTTTAAGATTTATGCAGCTTGAACAACGGAGGGTGCAGTCACAGGTGTACATCATCAGGTCGATGGAAAGTTCAGTGCTCTTGTCCAGGTCACATGCAGCTGAAAGAAGACGGCAAAAACTGTAGCAGCGGTGAGTAGGGCCTGATAATAGTGTGGTCTATCCACCCCTTCCCGCTCGGGGATAGACTTTTGGGGGGTTAGGGGAAGGTTATTTAGGTCCACTCGAACTTTGAACAACAACCTATGCATTGTTTTGAAATTTTGACACAGGAAGGGATAAAAGTTAGCGGCATGTTTCGTTAAATAAAACCGGAAGTGGGAGACGAAACATAGAGCATTTTTCTTTTTTAATTCATAGTTCTTTCAAGACATCCACTGGAGCAGACTATTTCTGAGGCCCTGCCAGCGTAAATTCCGACAAGCGACATGACCCAAAAAGTAGCGACAGAGCCTAAAATGAAATCGTGACACGAGACAACCTCCTTCTGCCAAATAGCGACAGTGACGGTAAAGCCGAGAATATGCGACAAAGAACGGTGGTTTGGCTAATTTATCGCCAGTCTGAATACCAAGAAGAAGCAATTTTAGTCAATTTTCCTTGCGCTTCAGAGATTGTCTCTTGTCAGTGAGTTTCAGTCGAACCCTCCTGAGCGCGCCACGCGTTGTCCTGTCGCGCAGTCTTCATTTACGCAACCGCCCACAACTCCTGGGAGACCTGGGAACTAGGTTGTCCGTCACATAACTTACTTTCATGTGCGCTTTACATCTCTTGTGATCACTACTTTCACATAGACTATAATGCACCTCGTTTTCGCCTCAGAATTTTGCTTAACCATTGTTTTCAAATTATCCTGGGTATTACAGTCGTCCCAAGAGAAATCGAACACAATGGTTATGCAAAGTTTTGGGGGGTATGCAAGGTGCATTATGGTCTGTGTGAAAAAGGTGAATGCTTTGCTTGTCCCTGAACTTGTGACATCCCTGTCGACCTCTGTCGGACGGTGACGACGGTGGAGAGACCAGGGACCAGGTAACTTAACCACCGACCTTCCAACCGCTCCCACAGAGTAGACCACCGTTAACCGGCCTTCACGATTTATCAGGTCAGTTAGTCTTAAAATGTTGAACGTGGATCACTTAGGGTGTGTTGACTGTGTTCCTTTCGGCGAATCCAAAAACGGATTTTTCATCCGAGATTTGCCGGATTTCGCGGTCGAAAGGAACGTGAAATCCGAAATTGGATTTGTGACCCTTGCAACCTTTCGCAAACGCGTGCAATATGCATGACAGCCTCTCCTTTTTCAAAATGTATTCACCAGATCAAAAATCCTGATTTAGATTTGCCGAAAAAAACGCGAAATCCGTTTTAAGATCTAAAGTCCGTTTTTGGATTCACCGAAAGGAACACACCCTTAATTGTCAATGGCGATGTATAGTTGTTCGATACGCGAAATGTTAACTGAGAAATTGTATAACTGTAATGCTTTCTTTACAACGCATCGCTATCCCCCTTTTCTAAAATTCCAACAGAGACAAAGAATTTTCGTTCAATTTCCGACAGCGATGTGAAGCGTTTATAAACACCGACAAGAGGCGTGGCAGGGCCTCATTTCTGCGGGAGAGGGGCGCCAAGTAACGTGTGTCCTTGTAACACCTACTGTCCTGTTGCCCCCAATGATACTTTTGCTAAGTGCTGTGAAGGTAACGTTTTTCAATTTACAACAAAGAGAATATCCAAGTTAGGCCTCGTCCCTCAATGAGGAAGTTTCAAGTAACATAGCAGGCAACGATGTATCCCAATTTTTAGGAAGAAGGATTCTAACACCTTTGTTCCCAGGGTGATTCCTCTTTGCCTTCTTGGCGGGAAATAGGAACGAGGCAATCGCGTTCCCAGGGCTTTCCCCTGAAGTCCCGAGGGCAAAGTTGGGAACGTGATTGGCATTCTCATTGGCATGTAAAGGAATGTATGATCGTTGATGACAACACCATCTTTTCTTTTAATCTCATAAAACCCGACGGGACTCTGTAATTATAACAAAGTAGGCGTTCATTGGTTCAGTTGTGTTGTGAGTATCCACTTGCCTCTTCTTAATTTCAACCTCTCCAGTTATGATAATATATATTGTTGTTATTTGTCAGCTCCTCTACCAAGCTACTCCATTGTGGTTGCGACTAAAAAGGCAGTATGGCAGCTGTTTATGGACACGAAACTAAACCGAGCCACGTTTAAAAAGGTGCAATTGAATCACTATCCTATGATGCTTGTCGCGCTGGGATATAACCCTGTTGATAAGCGCGTATATTGGAGTGACGTAGATGAGGGCTCGATAAACCGCGTTTTTTTGAGCGGAATGGGAGACAAGCAACAGATACAGAGGTAATTTATATACCACTGGACTTGTAAATGGGCACCCTTAAATTCTGCATAAGAAACTTAAAGCAAAGGAAAATGTCTTTACTATATCTCATAAGCCAACTTCTTTAATAAGTTGAATTAAGTTCAAGTTTAGTTAACCCTACTCTTGAACATATGAAAAAGTCGCGTTTTTAGCTCATGGATGACGTAGTCATGCTACGGGTTTTTGGAGGCACTCGAATGACACTCGATCACTCACTCACTCACTTACTCGATTCTCATTAATTTTTTCATTAAAGCCAGATTAAACACTTTACTCTTACCTCCCTTACTTAGTATTACTTTTGTTCCAAGTGCCTTTTACGCATATGTTTGGCGTATTCTAGAGGGCACTGGTAAAGTGTACTTTTTTTCCCGACACATCATAGAGATGGGGTTTGTATAATAGAGATATTCTAAAGAACACTGACAATATCATCTGCAAGAAATGGACTTGGAATTGTTAAAAAGACATTGAAATAATTGAGCGTGGATCATTGTTGTACATTGGGACGAATTGTGCACATTTTTTCCCCATATAACTTGATAAGGAGAAGGTGTGATCAACAGGAGTGTGAAAGAGCTATCGCAGCCTAACGATCGCGATGGGATTTCGTCAGTTCAGCGAAAAGCGAATAAGCCAAAGAACCTTTATAGCAGCAAAAAAAAAAACAAAAAACAAAAAACAAAACAAAACAAAACAAAACGGTCCTCGAATTGTTAAAACGACGTTGGGTAGTATCTGTTGTGGTTTATTCAATTATTTGGACGAATCCATTCGACGATTTGTCTTCGTATGCAAACAGGGAATGAAATAATGTTGGGTCCACTGGAAGCACAGGTTTTAGAACCAACAAGCGTTACGCTATTTTGCTTGAATTCTGAGATGATCTTTGCCCAGCAGGCTTTTGCTTGTCGATGATTCCATTTATCAGTGCTATTAATGTAATTTGTTCAGAAAATTCTGCGCTGGTATAAACAAGTTTCTAGAATATTCAGGTAGAGAAAAGCAATCGGATACTGCGACTGCGCTTAAATCACTTAGCTAGGTCAGAGCACGTACAACTTCGAGTTTAGTCCGTTTGATTAAGCTAATTTTTTAGCTAGTGTTTAGCAAAAGCGCGTTTTAAAGCAGTTTAATTTAGCCATAAACGCTTGTATTCTATAATTCATAGCTCGTACTACAAAGACAAACCGTTACGTGTTTATTGAAAAGCATCGCACTTATAGGAAACCTTCGAGGTCCATTAAAGTAATTGTTTCAAAATTTTTGCTAACAAGATCGATCCTGGACATATCTCATTATTTTCCAACTAACGAGCGTCAATACTTGCTTAAAGTGATTCTTGCGTTATAAGTAGAAATGCTGCGCTAATTACAAGTTTCTAGAATATTCATGTGCACATGCAATCTATTACTTTGAGTCACGCTGTAATTTGGCAAGTCCGTACACAATGAAGCGTCCAAAACGATTTATATGATTTTCTTTGATTATTGAACTGCCTTTTCTACACTAATTCAATTCATCCATGAGCTCGCTCCTAGGAGCCTTTCATTCATAACAGATGCCTGTTAGGTTTTTTCGTTAGTTTTTATAAAGCACACTAGGAGAACACGCGAGGGGAGCGCGCGCGCGTCCCCGACATTTCTCCCTTCACCTTAAAAGAAGCGCCTATGTTTTTCCCGCATGTTTGACATGTGAACAATTTTAGCCCAAAAGTTTTCCCCATTTTTTGAGGGTTTTTTTGGGATACGGGATTTGAACCTCGGGATTCGGGATCTTTAAGCAAAATGGAGGAGAGATCGGGGATTGAAAGTATACACGCGATGTGAAATGTCAAAAATAACCATTGGGATTACGGAATTGCACGAAGATTTGGGTCGGGGTGACGGGATTGAAGAACCCAATCGGGAACCGTCATTTTCAGGCAAATGCTTTGTTATGGAGCTTAAGATTCTGAGACGACGACGACTACGAGGACGAGATTTTCTCAATACTGAGTAGTGCTCGCGCATGAACCAGCGTCACTTTAGCGGGAAAACGTGTTAAGCGTCGTCACTTTGCTACGAGTTTTAGCGAGATTCACTGGTCATCCTCGTCCCACTGATCTCCTTATTCAAGCAACCTTAATCGCAATATTTGTTAAAACTTCCTGTCTGAGAAACCGAGAGAATCTTGCACTGTGGAAGTACCTTTTGTTCATCTGCATTAACATGGTTTGATTTTGGTTAATACAGAAATGCAGGTGTCGTGGATGGCATGGCACTCGACGTTGAAAATAATTTCATTTACTGGACTGAAGTGTCAAATAACATAAGGCGGGGAAGGATCATGCGTGCAAGTTTAGATGGAAGGAACCCCATACAAATACGGCAGGGATTAGATAAACCGAGAGCTATCGTCCTCTATAAGCCGACAAGGTTTGTATCACGTGATTGCTGCGCTCCATTGTTGACCGAAAGGCCAGGCGCACTTGGTAACCAATCAGAAATGTAATCAAATCACGTGCCTCGCTCGCGCGCAGTTTTTATGCTCTTGGCGTTGGCTACGTGTGTTTGTGATTGATTCCTTTGAATTTCTACGCGTATTTCGCAATCATACCAGCCATAGAAGACTGTAAGTACGTTCTTGTGGTCACATATAAAGGTATTCCCAACTCAGGCTTTTGAAACGGCATCCATTATTAGAAGATAACAAGTAGTGTTAAGGAAACTACTTCCTACTGAAATAAGTGCATTTGTACCATTTGTTCTGACTCTAGGATGATGTATTGGACTGACTGGGGATCTACAGCCAAGATCGCGCGGGGAAGGTTGGACAATTATTTCAACGTAGATACGATGGTGACAGGACAACTAAAATGGCCGAGTGGTTTAGTTATTGATGCAGCTTCGCGGAAACTTTTTTGGGCAGATGCTGGCATGGACAAAGTAGAGTACTCTAATCTAGATGTAAGAAGCTTTGTGCTCTTCTCGTATGTGAGGCTAAGCATTCTACAAACCAGCTCATGCTGCCTTCCATATCAATATGAGACATTTCCTTACCTTAATTAAAAGCCTGTGATGTCCTTTTCATTTGCATCGATATAATTTAACTATTATTTCTTCTTCAGGGGCATGGTCGTGGTGAACTGCTCAGTGCCCCACGTGTTCGTCATCCCTTCTCTCTCGCCATTCTAAACAACAGGTTATTAGTTCTACAAATGTTGTAATAGTAACTGATAATAAATTAGTTCATAACAAATTAGGTAGCCTACGAGCAACCTCTTCAATCAAGGATTATTTTGAGAAGTCACACGCGGGCATGGAAATATTTTGCCGCTCGCTTATGCGTTCTCTCGCAGCACGCTTCGCTCGCCACTCGAGACGAAGAGCTTGCTCGCAGGCTATAAATGAGGCTGAATATGATCGTCTGAGTGAGTGTGGTTCTGTTCACTGTGACCAGCACTGAAGAGCCATTTACGTGTTATGATAAATTTGTCACTACGTTTCACATAGTTTGAGTACGTAAGATATAACTGAATACTGGAGATACTCACGACGAATTGCATCATGGGCTCCTGTTTCGAGGTTGCGTAGGAAACTGGGTCTCCAAAAAAGTCCCATAGTGCAATTCGACTCAACACTCGGCCTCCGTCTCAAATGCAACCTCAAGGCCTAAACCCTTCTAAGAGTATTCCAAGAAATTTGGAAATCCTGGTAAAAAGTTTTCATTACAAACACAAACGATTTTTAAGAAACATTTTAAAAAACGCGAGAGGGCTGTGCGAGCGTTTCCGAAAATGTTCAAAAGGTCTTCGCGGACCTATAATTTGCGTCAAGACTAGGAGAAGAACTTAAAGATGACATTCAAACATTCCCTTTGCAATACGAAAAATTTAAAAAGTTACTTAAGCTCTAGAATTCAAAATGATTGCCTGTTTTTGCTTTTATGAGTGCCTTACGTCGATATTACAGCTTCTGGCTCAATTCTTGAGGCATTTTCTTTTATAAACTTCCCTTTTGGAATGAAAAAGAGTCTGCTGCAAGGAACACATTTGTTAGTACTCCAAAGTGCTTTTTGTTTTAGATTGTTTTGGAGTGACTGGGAAACTTCAGGAATACATTCAGTGGACAAAGACAGTGGCAGAGATATGATAACCGTAGCCAAGGGCCTTGATCGGCCAACTGCGTTTGTAATATTTAAAGCCACTCCTCCAGGTTTGTAATTCTTGAATTAATTCGATCTTCACCCTGCGGACAGGGCCTCTTTTTGTCTTCCTGAGTAAGGAGAAAAGGAAGCTCTACATGAATCGTGTCAAGCTTTTAAAGTCGCTGTAGCCTGGCCTAGTCAATCTTGTTTTCTCTCGTCAAACTGGTTTTCCAAGTGCGAGCATCCGTTTATTGTGAAACCGATGGTCATAACTGAGCCCACTGTACCCAGCACACGGATATTAGGCCTGGGTTCGAAACTGTTTCCCAGCATGCTCAACTCCAATCATGCCAAATCGCGGCTCTGCTAACAGGGTGTTAGATCATAAGCATTCACATTGGATGGTACTCAGGACCCTTTAGGGAACAATAGAGACCTCTGGATTGTGAGACGAGAACGAGATTTTCTCAATAGTAAGTAGTGCTCGCGCGTTAGGCAGCGTCATTTTGGCGGGAAAACATGGAAGCCCTCGTCATTCTACGAAGAGTTTTAGTGAGCGTGTCGTAGTGGCGGGAACAAGTTAACAAATATTAGAAGTTTTAGCATTTTGCAACCGCGAGAGGTCTTAACTTTCTCCAATAACGATAACGGTGCTAACTTTTCTGGTGAAAAAAGAAGTACAATGAAGAAGTCCGGAGTGACAAGGACCAAATGCTTGACATACACTAATTACTTAAGAATATATTTAGATATTGAAACTGTTTCCTGTCGTCTGTTTTAACGGATGGCAAGGATGGACATGGATTGAAACCTGAAAAAGTTATGTAAATGTTTTCAAGTTTAAACGCCATGCCTGCAAAAAACACCCTCCTTCCCTCCCCCCAAAGACAAACTTTTGTTCGTATGAATGCTCCCTGGTGAAATTGTTTGATATCTTCCTCTAAAGGAGCATTTGGTGTATGCGGGGCAAGGCACTGAATGATGACTTCGACACAGAATTGATCTAGAACAGCAATATCTTATCCTGATGACATAGCCTCTTTGGATCAATTTAGGTTTCTGGGAAACTGCCCACCTACCCCTCCCCTAAGCCATCATTTTGCCCTAAGTGAGAAGTAAGTGTCAATGTTAGCGTGGGGGAGGGGTAGGTCGGTAGTTTCCCAGAAACTTAAATTCAATCCGCCTCTTTAACTGGAACTTCATATGCATTGTCAAATTACAGATTTACAGAGTACTTTTTCAGACCGCCTTTTTCAGCTATAAATTGCTTTTTCGACCTCACTGGGGGTTCTGAGGATTCTTGGTAGTTCCGGCGTATTTCGGCCGCATAATTCTGCAAGTACATGCAACTAAACTCACTTTGTGGCTATTTTAATATTTAACGCATTACATTGCATCTGTTTCACAAAACCGATCAATGTACAATTAAACAATTTTGGAAGGAAGGCTGGGAAACTCGGCATGAGATTTTGGGGGGATAATTTTTGGTCCAGGTTTTTTTTTGGTGGGGGGGGGAGGAGGTTATTTTTGCCCTGATTAGATTATCCCCGTCAACTGAAATCCGCAGTACCCCCGAGAGCGTTCGAGTGGGTAGAGTGCAATAACTTTTTGTTTCCATACCAGTCGGTCCCAGTACAAACTGCCCTGATCCAGGTGACCTAGCAAATGGTGACAGGAACCCGTCGCCGAGGGACGGCAGCAGTGATTACCCACAAGGCAGTATGATACGCTACACGTGTTACCCTCACTATAATCTACACGGATCAGTCACCCGCACGTGTCTGGCTGACGGCAGCTGGAGCGGAAAAGCACCGGAATGTCTTAGTGAGTACATTGAGCGTAGCCTAATAGCGTAGCCGAGATTTCGCGACAGCACCACTGATTTCCCCGCGAAATGACGTCTGAGACACGAGCGCAGAAATTCAAAAATTTTGCGCTACGGTAAATTTCCCAAAGTTAGCCTAAGTAGGTTCTTACATAAATGGTAATTAGCACAAATTTAGACTGAAGAATTTCTGAAGAAACAAAATACATTTTAGGAAAGAGTATTTAGTGGTATTCAGCTTATCACTTATATAAATCTGCATACCAAATTGCTACTAATGTAAAAATGACTATTAGAAGAAGAACTGAAGCACTGTCCACTTGAAATTTGAAGTCCCCCTTTAGAATATATTCATACATGTATTGCAATGTCTTATTTTATTTGCCAAAGTGTAAGGATATTTTCGCAGAAAAGAAAAACCTGTTTCAAATTTTAGGCGAAACAGGTTCATGTATAGAGGGGGCTTAACTGGCAAATTTTAGCCCAACAGGTTCTTTAAAAAAACAGATTCTTACTCGCTTGTTTTTACTGCATTTTTCGTTTCTCTTTAGACCCTCCGATATTCCACCAGACTCCAACCAACGTAACCGTCAAAGAAACAAGCTCTGCCTTACTTAATTGTTCCGCTTCGACCCCTAATACAAATATTACGTGGTATAAAGACGGAAACGTTGTAAAAGGAGATGGTATTGTCATTTCGAGAGCCGGGTTAATAATTGTGGGCGCTGATCGTGCAAACCAAGGTTGGTATGTCTGTAAAGCAACGAACAGGGCAGGCAGCAAGGAGGTGCGCGCATACCTCAAAGTGACGAGACCGCTTGATGCAGGTTAGTGATAGATGATAAATTTACTTTGAAAAACACCGAGGCTTAAAAACCAAATTGGTTTCTCCATTCTGTCATCTAAGAACGAACGGTAGAGTCCACATTAGCGTTTATTTCGTAAAAAAATTTTTACCTCCAGTAAATTGGTACCCCGGTACCGTGAAGGACCTTCTTTTACCGAATGCCGTCAGCCAAAAGGATGAAAAACAGCATACCGCAGGGTTAGATGATACCGCAATACCGTAAACCCCAATTTCCCCCTCCTTACGACTCTTGCAAGCATTTTCTAAAATTTCAGCAGTTCTTAAAGGTCGGACATTGTTTTGCCTTGACACCTCTCGTCCCGTGTAATAATGTAAATCCAAGACAGCCTTGGATTCTAGATTCAACGCTCGAAACCGGATTTTAGGAACTGGATTCCAGATATTGCGATCTTGAACCGAATTCCTTGAGCTGAGTTCCGTATTCCAAAGCCTAGGATTCCGGATTACCTCGCAAGGGGCAATACTTGAGCACTTAACCCTTTAAGCCCCAAGATCCACAAACAAATTCTCGAGACTGATCTCCATTCATTCCCTTTAAGGTTTAAGAGCGACGGTCAGGAAAAATCGACCAAGATCTTAATTTCGTGGCAAGAGTTGAAAAATCAATTTCTTTCATTTTTTGTTCATAGATAGCTTTTAGGTAGATAAGAAACCTGAAGTAGTTTGTTCCTGCCGAAAGCTTTTTATTTGTGTGAAAAATTACAAGATCGCTTTTGGATGTCGGAGTCTCAGACTGGCCTAATTAGTCTCGCTTGCTTTAGAAAAGCGAGACTCTTAAAATGCACTCGGTTTTTTTTTTGTCGGACCTAGTTTGTAGGCCTCGCGTTCCTAGCGAACACCGTGGAAACTGGGGATAAGAATCGTGACGACTTTCATTGTATGGAAATGAGTCTCGTGATGAGAATGCAGTTTATTTCGGCGATGACTGAAATGACGCATGTAAGTTTGGCAATGACGTAATTTTCCTCGAATGGAGGCCCTTGTTTTTCGTGTAATTATGCACCACATGCTGGCACATCCCCAAGCAGGATGAGAAAATATTATAGCGGGGAAATCCTCAGGATTTTTTGGCTTTTTAAGGCGTTATGTTTCTCAGAATATTGTCGCAATTACAGGAAATGTACGGTTAAATAAATTCACTTTGTTTTATGTATTTAATTGATAGATTTTCGCAGTTGTTCCGATGTGAAGTCGTGTTGCACTTCATAAATACTTGAGAGATGAAGTATCCACTGTCACGTAACTTTTACGTGCGCACGTGCGTAAAATTTGCGTTCGCAAATAAAATAAAGGCAATGTATGAAAGGCTGCACGTACAATTATGTAAGCGTAAAAGTAGAAACTCGCTTAATTTGACGTTTAATCTCAATACTTTATGTCTTACCTCTATTTGATTTACGTGATTAAAATTTACGTGCGTTAACGTGCGGAGCCAAAAACGCATCAGTGGAAATCCACCCTAACGTGTCACGGGTAGCTTTGAACTTGACTAACCGCACACTCTACTTGCAGCACTTCATGTCCATAGTTAATAGAAATCCCATATCGAGCTTTTCCGGAATGGGTTGGTCCAAGAATTCTATGGCTTGAAAGCGTTGATTATTTTGGAACAACTGATCACTTCAGTGGTCGAAAAAAAAAGAATAATCTTAATGAGGAAAACTTCAAGGTTTACTGGAAAATCAGGATCGAGGATCGAGGATCGAGGATCGAGGATCGAGGATCGAGAAATCAGGGATCAAGGATCGGTTAAAAAGTACTTGTAAATAAAATAAATAAATAAATCGTGGATCAGTGATGATGTGGGCCGCAGACTGTAGACTGTACTGAACGCTAAATTCAAGTAAACTAATCCGAGTCTGTCTGAGTCAGAGATTGTTTTGACGAGAAAGTGAAATTTTCCGGGAAAATGAAACGCTTTATCCTGGTGACACTGTAATACAAGAAAAATCTTTTAACAGTTTTTAATTTTTAACTCGTGGGGACGCGCGAGCGTACCACGAGTTATTGCAGGGACAGAGATATGCAAATGAGTCACTCGCTCACTCGTTGTAGACGGACTTCGTAATTAATCGGGTCCGAACTCGAGAGTGCGAAGATCTATCGCTTAAGACACGTAGGAGTCTTTCAAATGAGTACGATGGTTAACTTGGGGATTGGATTTCAAGAGCCTTTGTTCGTTCAGGCGTTAAACTTGACGAGAAAATGAGCAATTACTCTTCTGACTTCGAAAGATCACGGGGGATATACAAATTCCAGCTTGCTGGAAAGTGATCTGAAAGTAAGAAAATGTCATGCCATGCTATTCTTAAGAACCTGTATGGACCGAAAATGGATGTGATTTTGACCATTAGCTTCAAAATAACAGCAGAAATCGAGATACGAAAACATATGTTTTGCCTCCTACTTCGCTGACGAGGTGTATCGGCTTTGTAAAGCACATGTTATTTTGTTCATTCGTTGCCATGAAATGCGTTGACATTGTTTTTTCACTGTCAATAGCTCGGTTAATGCGGCTCGATCATACTGAACGAATTTGCTGGCGGAAGTTCCATGGATAACGCATTAAGTTAAAGAGTTTTCGCCAGAGTGATGTAATCAGCCTTCGTGGTGTAGTGGTAAAGTAAAGTCGCATATAGCCGAAGGTTTCCGGGTTCAAGTACCGTTCTTTTTTCATCTTCTTTCTTTCTTTTTTTCTCGTTTTTGGCTTGTTTTGTTTGCTTATTTGTTTTGTTGTTTTTCTATAAATATGTACCTAAATAACCGTTATTTAATAAAATATGCAATAAACAAAAAGAAAAGTATTGTGTTTGCAGAGCAAAGATAGTATGTTAAATATATTGTACATGGATAAACAATCTGAATTTCTACCATTTGCTACAATTTACTGTGGGAAAACCAGAGTTGATAACCATTTGATCATTTTCTAAACAATGTTTCCACGAGTTGACGATAGGCTTTCTTTGATTAAGTGTACATTTGCTTTCAGTACTCCTTATTTTTCTTGTAATTGTTGTATGCACGACCCCACCAGCAATGCTGATCTTTTTATCGTACCATAAACTAAGGTTCTTACCTACCCACCTACCTACCTACCTACCTACCTACCTACCTATCGATCGATCGATCGATCGATCGATCCTGGTGACACTGTAATACAAGAAAAATCTTTTAACAGTTTTTAATTTTTAACTCGTGGGGACGCGCGAGCGTACCACGAGTTATTGCAGGGACAGAGATATGCAAATGAGTCACTCGCTCACTCGTTGTAGACGGACTTCGTAATTAATCGGGTCCGAACTCGAGAGTGTGAAGATCTATCGCTTAAGACACGTAGGAGTCTTTCAAATGAGTACGATGGTTAACTTGGGGATTGGATTTCAAGAGCCTTTGTTCGTTCAGGCGTTAAACTTGACGAGAAAATGAGCAATTACTCTTCTGACTTCAGTGTCAGTGTCGATCGATCGATCGATCGATCGATAGGTAGGTAGGTAGGTAGGTAGGTAGGTGGGTAGGTAAGAACCTTAGTTTATGGTACGATAAAAAGATCAGCATTGCTGGTGGGGTCGTGCATACAACAATTACAAGAAAAATAAGGAGTACTGAAAGCAAATGTACACTTAATCAAAGAAAGCCTATCGTCAACTCGTGGAAACATTGTTTAGGTAACCACCCTTTTTTTCAGGGATAATTAAGCCGAGATTGAAAAGCTTGAATGTATGTAGCAGTGGCTAGTAATTTTCACAAAGTGGAAGTTAATTCGGTCTTTATTCGGTCTTGCAAGACTGCATCGTTATCCCAATTCCTTCTTAGACCTCTTCGGCAGATAGATAGATAGATAGATAGCCTAGGTTTTCATTTTCTACAAGGATAGGGGAATCTTTGTTTACATTTTTTGCCGCATTACCGTATGAATATCAGAAGAGCATAACATTTTCAGTTTAAAATTTGATCGATCGATCGATCTATCTATCTATCTATCTATCTATCTGTCTGTCTGTCTGTCTGTCTGTCTGTCTGTCTATCTATCTATCTATCTATCTATCTATCTATCTATCTATCTATCTATCTATCTATCTATCTATCTATCTATCTATCTATGCATGCTGTGTACAACTCTAAACGTTGTACTCTGAGACTGTACGGAGATATTAAAAGTAGATACTAAGCAGCTATGGAAAATGTCATTACTTTCATGCGATATTGATATCTTATAAAATGGACAACAAATTCAGCAGGAATACGCGCGAACTGAATTTACTGTGTGTTGTATAAGGTTCTGTTCAACTTACACTTTTTTCCTGTGCTGAACATATACTGTACCGAGCCATATCTTGGTCCGGTACAAAGAAGCTATGTATATTTATACTGACAGGGTCATGGGTCCCTGATACCGATAATTATCATCGTTCAATTTTTCGAGTGTAGAATCCCTGAAAGAGTACTCCTCAATGGAGCAATATCAATATATAGAAGGGTTTCAAAGGTTTCACACCGGTTTGAGGCTAAGATGTGCAGTCTGTCTCTCCTTGCAATTTTTACTTTTTGAGTGTATACATTATGACATACAACACTCGTTTTGTATTCCAAACAAAAAAGTAGTATAACAGCACCGCAGCCTTTGACATTAAAACTCATCTCCAAGCAAGCGAGACTCAAAGGCTTCTAAGAGCGTTCTTGTTTTTAACCTGGAATTCGCTACCATCAACTTTCCTCGCGTTCGCAAACGAAGCCGCATGGAGAAATTTGGACACTTTCCATGAACAGGAAAATTGTTTCTTTTCCACGAAAAGATACTTTCAGGGCAATAGCGAAGCTCGTCGTACTGAAATAATTAAAAAATGAGGGATAGGTTTTCAGGATAATAAAAACTTACGTTCGTTACTCATTTTCGACGGTAATATTTAACGTGTGGTATAACTCCAAATTCTCTTAATGCTATTTAAATCACACATTTAGACATTCATTTAAAACATACCTGGGAATTGGCTTGGGTTATTGAATGTAATCTCCGTAAGACACTATCGAAGTTCAGGAATTTTCATGGTAGGCCAGCGGTAATTGTGTAAACACTTCCAATTTCGAAACGCACAAAAGTAGATATTTACAGCCTAAAGGCTCGTTTTTTTTGTACTTCTTGTAGGTTTTCCCATTGCAAAATTTCTTTTTCCAATCAAAGAGTGGGGTAAAAAGGTGAAACTGGGTCAATTTAATTTTAGCCATTTTAAAACACTGAACTCTACCAGACGGCGACTCTGCGTGACAATCTGTTCCGTGACTGCACGTCACATAGCGTACGTTTGAAGAGACGGAGCCGTTAAAACGACAGTCACGGAATCACAGTAGTAACGCAACGCAATTCTTGAAAGAGTAACATTTTCGATCACGACAGTATTTTGAAGAAGAAAAAGTCAAACGCGCCTTTTTCTGGTACTCACTTTTTTAACAATGGTAATTCCCTAAGTATGACGGAACAGGAAGATATTTCGTCTTGTTACTTTATGATCGAGGAAACTTGGAGCCGTTAAATAAGTTATTTTGATCAGGCTTTACTATTTTTACCGGACAAACGCGCTTTTTCTGGTACTCACTTTTTTAACAATGGTAATTCGCTAAGTATGACGGAACAGGAAGATATTTCGTCTTGTTACTTTATGATCGAGGAAACTTGGAGCCGTTAAATAAGTTATTTTGGTCAGGCTTTACTATTTTTACCGGACAAACGCGCTTTTTCTGGTACTCACTTTTTTAACAATGGTAATTCGCTAAGTATGACGGAACAGGAAGATATTTCGTCTTGTTACTTTATGATCGAGGAAACTTGGAGCCGTTAAATAAGTTATTTTGGTCAGGCTTTACTATTTTTACCGGACTTCGATGCTTTCGTTTGGAGGCTGCCAGCCTAAAGGAACCCAAGCCAATTCTCAGGTGTGCTTTCGATGAATGTCTAAATGTGTGAATAAACGAGGACCGGGAAAATTTGGAGCTATACCACTTGAAGAAAAATGCAGCAGAAAACAACTACTAAATTAAAGTTTTTGTCATCGTAAAAACCTGTTCTTCGTTTCTGAATTATGTTAGTTCAACGAGTCTTGATATTGCTTTGGAACGATCTTCTAGTGAAAGAAGAAGAGTTGTTCTATGGATGGAAAGTGTTCAAATTTCTCCTTGCGGCTTTATCTGCGAACGCGAGGAGAGTTGATGTTAGCAAATTTCGGGTTGAAAATACGGCCATCTTGAGACTCCCACCACGAAAACTGATATTCTTACTTTAAAAGGCTTTTTGCGAGAACAACTTACATCAGATTACTTATCTACCTAAAAGCTACTTATGGACAAAAAATGAAGGAAATCGATTTTTCAACTCTTGCCACTCGATAGTCGATATTTCCCGACCGTCGCTCTTAAGATCAAAGGGTTCTTTCTTTAGTAATCAATTTTGTAATTCTCATAACTTTTACTCTTCATGATCTGATGCTGTTGGGAGAATATTGATGTTGGTCACTCTTGGGACCAAAAGGGTTAAAAACTAAGGGTGAGATAAACACTTCGTTGTCAAAACAAAAAGAAGAAAAAAAGAAGAAAAAAATATATTTATTGTAAAATTCCAAATGTGCGGCCAACCTTTCCGGTTTTAAACGTTACAGTGTGTTGCCCAGTATCCGGACACCTCAGTTTAATATCGCAATAACTTTCCTTTGTTAGTCGCAAGAGCTCTGAAATTTGGCCCAGAGAAAATCTATTTAGTCCTATAATATAATAATAATATTTTTGCAGAGCTCCTATGTTGCCCAGTATCCGGACAGCTGGCCCAGTATCCGGACACAACAAAAACAATGTAATTGTACATAAATTTCGACAGGCAAGCGACTTATAAGCTTCTCTTGTACTTGCAAAGTAGTCTGGCAATCGATTCCAAAAATATAACCTCGCATCGTGAAATAAAACATAACAAATGACTGGGGTATGGTGAGGAACGCGAGTGGTTGTTAAATAGCATAATTCTTACTTCCTCGTCTACGAACTTTTTCACTGATTTAAGGAAGACATCCGTGGACACGCCGCAGCCGCGGTTTGCTAGCTCAATTAGCCAATCTGCAAACGACTTTTTTTCTTCACTTTTTATTTAAAAAAACAAGCTTGGGGAAGGGACCTCAATGCGACGGTCAAAGGTCACTCTCCTATTTAGTCTGACCTGCAGTGTTGATTTCTTCATGCTCAGTCCCTACAGACCCTACAATAAACCTGCTTTTCTAGCACTAATCCCTCCTTCTTTCACATCTCTCAATCCCTTTGTGACATTTTTCAGACCGTTGCAACCCCATTCTAGCAGTCACAACTGGGGAAAGTATGAGAATGCCAGGTTCAACTCCGACGCTTTCGGTTATATATAGAAAATGCAGTCACGCGAAACGAAATCAAGTCGCCTCCGAATGAGTGAAGAAAATTTCCGTACGGAGTTGAGAAGCAAGGTTTTAGCCAGAAGGGTGTCCAGCCGTCCTATGGACGCCCATTTTTGGAAGAAACACAAGGAAAATTCACCTAATCTCTCATACGTTTACGGGAAAACGTGAATTCTGGACGGCCAGTTTTCAATGTCTGGCTAAAAGCCTGTTGAGAAGAATTACATTTTACGACTATATCATATATCCTAACCTTTAATTATAGTTATAGATATGAAATAAATCCTATCCGGATGATGTACGCAGCTAATTCATCGATTCTGACGATTCTGTACAGCAAAGAAAAAACTGTCCGGATACTGGGCACCTGACATCAATACTTAGTGAATGTTTCTGGGCTCCGTTATTCCAAAAAAATCGAATTTCAAGAAGAATTAATAAACTTTCTGAGAACCTGACTTCTTTACGTATCTTCAGTTTAAATATAAAACCGTTTCTTTGAAAATATCACAAACTACCTACCCTTTTCTGAGCAGCACTAATTTTACTGCGCAGTAAACAGCGTAAATATTGGCCATGAAATGTTTATTCACCTGAACAGAACGGCGTCTTCTGCGACTGTTTCGCAAGCTTTCAACTCGCCTAAGCCTTGATCTTAAAGCTGAAATGTTCAGCTTTCATTCGAAATACTTTGTTTACCGATAACTGAAAAGGACGTCTCAAAAATTGAGTTTTTGTTTTAAGTGTCCGGATACTGGTACCGTCCGGATACTGGGCAACATACTGTACCGATACTTTTTTAACGATTGTAATTCTCACCTTGCTTTAACCTTGATTTCCCCCCCGCAGACTGCGGCCGTCGCACACTGACCACTCGTGGCAGGATTGTTGGCGGTAAGAAAGTAGAAGCTGGGTTTTTCCCATGGCAAGCCAGCCTGTGGAACACAAGGACGAATAAACTTTTCTGTGGTGGATCCCTTGTCGCTTCGAGATGGGTGGTTACCGCTGCGCATTGTGTAGCTGGACCAGGTTTGTGATTTTGTTTTCAATGTTAAGGCATCGTCTGGGGGCTGTTTAGACTTTCTATATTAAAGTTCTTCATTTTTTTTCCTGGTTGGTTATATAGACTTATTTATAGACTTCGCCGCTCGCTCGGTCGCCGTGCGACCTCATGCATTGAAGCTCACTTTTAAGAACTTGTGAGAGGACGACTTGTAACAAGTCTAGGGGTTGTTTGGGCAGAGGTATGCCGCCCAAGCCCTCAAAACCTGACCCTGTTTAAGAAAAAAATTACTCATTTCGCTACCCTGTGTAAGACAAGGGATCTTAATTTATGACCCTGGGCCCAGTTGTTCGAAGGCCGATTAGCGAAATGCTGATTGGTGGAGATGACATTAGTAATGACGTCATTACCCTCCGCACGTGTTTTTCAATGTTTGTTTACATTCGCGCTCGTTCCGCTCCTCGCTGATTGGCGGAAATCTTACAGCTCAGTCGACGGGGAGTCACAGAGGAATTGGAGGTGGATTTTAATTTCCAGAGACATAGTTGCAAGCGCTCCTTCCTTTTCCCGCCCCGCCGCCAGAGCGCCCCGGAGAGGGCTTGCTCGCCTATCGCAGGCTACGACGGCAAGGGCATAAAAGTGAGTTTTGGTTTCTAGTCTGCCTACGTTTTCCCTTAGCTTCGAAACACCTAGACAACATTCCACTGCTTGGTATACCTAAAGGAAGGAGATCTTGGGGAGCAAGGGTGGCGCAGTGGTGAGAGCGCTCGCCTCCCACCAATGTGGCCCGGGTTCAACTCCCGGCGTCGACGCCATATGTGGGTTGAGTTTGTTGTTGGTTCTCTCCCTTGCTCCGAGAGGTTTTTCTCCGCGTACTAAGGTTTTCTCCTCTCTTCAAAACCCAGCACTTCCAAATTCCAATTCGATCTGGAACGCATGGACACGTTTAAACGAGTTCATATGAACTCCTATGTGCTTCGTGGGTAAAGAAACCACGAGACGAGCAAACCGCGAATAAAGAGCGTTTTCACATGACGTCAGTTGGTGTCCCAAAACAAAAGAGTGGCCATGTTGTTACAAACCAATCCTGTGGGAGTTGAACCTTCTTCTTATTTAGAAACTTTCTTTTGTTCCGATAAATTTGCATAGCTGCTGACCACGTGACTGAAAAGGCTCTATTGTTATGTAGATATTTCAGTGCACGAGGTCCAGGTTCGTCTCGGAAAAGTCTTCAGCAATAGAGGAGAGCCCAGCAGGGAACAACTGATTTCCGTGGATAGAATCCTGATTCATACCCACTACGACCATCACCGCAGCGACTATGATCGCGATATAGCACTAATCCGCCTGAAGACTGCGGTTATTTATACCGATTACGTTAGACCGATCTGCCTACCCTTGCGAGGAAATGACACTGATAGATTTCTTCTGAGACCTGGAAGGATTGGTGTCATTACAGGTAAGAAGATTGTAACGATCTTGGTTGCCGAACAGCTCTTCTATTAGCTACTCTCTTTCTTTTCTTAAGCAAAGAAACACACTTGCAGCTGGAGAGTGTATTCGAAGAGGATGGAGAGTAGTCGTTACGTGACGTTGCAGTGGGAGAAAATTTCGGGTCCTCAACAAACCGTTGTCCTGCAAGTATAGCAGAAAAAAAATGACATTTATGACTTTCCTGTGCATGATTGCACTCAGGAACAAAACGGTAACCCATACTTTTCTTCCATCGTTCAACAATGCAAATCTGTCAAGAAAAATTGTTGAGATCTAGAAATTTTGCGACCATGGTAACGTGACGTCAAACTTCTCCATGGAGGTTGGTCGCTCAACAGAGATTCGTCATAAATTAGCGTAATCTTAACTTCCCAGTCGTCACCCTCTATCTCGGATTCTGTTATCATTCAAACTAAGTGTATCAAGTGCTTGAAAGCCGCTTGGTAGAGAAAACCTCCAATGTGATGGCCAAAAGGCATCTAAGAATAGACGATATTCGGATTCCCCGACGGCCCTGGGACGAGAGACTTCACAGCATGATTGCGAGGCTAAAGCGGGGAATCGTTTGGCAACAACACAAACAAACATTGAAACAAAAAGTAATCAAGAAAATGGTATATTGTGTCAAAATGTCAATACTCGAATCCTTTTTATAAAATTTTATTCTTCTTATTATTCTTTTTCTCTTGTGTGTATCTGTAGTGTGGAGTTTAAACTGCTCAGTATTATCGTCTGTACCAAACTCTGTGTTTAATTGATTGCACGTTTTTGTACTCTCCACAGTTGTTATCGAAGATAATGTAACTTAAATTTAAAAATAAACTTTACCGATTCATCTTTGTTCAAACCGGTTTGACTTCCTCAAAATGCGCATGGACTGTGTGCAGAACGCCAAGCCCCGTCCTCATAAGTAATTATCCACTGAATGAGTTGTTTGGTTTACTTCAAATACACGAGATTTTGCATCCGCTCTGTTAGAAAATTTCAACTGCAAAGCAGGTGTGATAACATCACTGTTAACTTTATCGCAGGCTTTCGATAATTACGTCCATTTCAATAAGAGGTATTCTTCAAAAAGTTTAAAGGACACTGAAAATTACAATTAAAATGGCTTCGGGGATTTTGAGAACTCCTCTGTTTATATTAATTTATAAACTCGCTCACCAAGCACTCTTCTCATCAATATAATTATGGTTAGGATCGCTGTTTTTCTTAGTAATAATGAACAGATCTTCCTTTTGTTGTTTGAAATAATAATCTCTCAAGTATTTAAGCCCTTCGGAACTTTACAATGTTAAAATTTCCCTTAAATTCGGCAAACTCAGCCGCAGTTTTCTCATATTTGTTTGTCCTCTTGGCGAGAAGTTCCCCGCATGAACCTCGCATTCATGATCAAGGCCTACTCGTTCCAGGACTGTCGGAGAATACGAATACTGTCTATTAAACTACGAGCAGTCTCTCTTTTTTCTTGGTCTGTCGAGCAAAACGCGCGAGACACAAATAACCACGCGCGTGATTGAAGGCGCGAGTTTCATACGGAGAGGCTCCCCTCTGAGATCCAACCCCTTCACTGAGGAATGGTGCCCCTTTCGCAGACCTACTAACAGTAAGTCTTCTCATCATTTTTTTTGTAGCTATAAGGTGCATCGAAGTATTCAAGAAAACGACCCTAATAAACACCTCAATAATAATTTTCCCTACCCTTTCATATACTTCAACTCATGAAATGCCTACCCTTTTAGATATGTTAAGCCGGAAAAAGGTACCCCTTTCGGGCAGAGCCTTTCATTTAGGCCACCATAGGAAGTATCCCCCGGGCCAAAAGCAATGTTGTCAGGAACCCTTCAGCGCCAATAGAGCTTAACGCAACATCCCAACATTTTTAAGAATTCCATCGCCAGGTAAGACCAGATAAGGGAGAAAAGAACTTCATCAGAAGCCATTTTGAATAAATTGTGAACCTTGATTAGTGCTTGATTTTGCTTTTTTAACACTACAGAATCCAATATGGAATGTAACTTTCCCCTTTCATATTTGTTTCAAAAGGTTGTTCACAGTTTTAATGACCTATTTGCGTGGAACTGTTTTACAGGTTGGGGCGACAACAAACAAAGACTACCGGGGTATGCAAAGTTCCTCAAGAGACTGCGTCAAGCCGATGTACCAGTCGTAGACCAAAGTACGTGTGTAAAGGCCAACAAAAAGTACGTCGTCACAGACAACATGTTTTGCGCTGGTTACTTCAACGGAACAGATGGTGACGCATGTGAGGGAGACTCGGGTGGACCGCTGGCTATTGAGAATAGCCTTTCAGTGGATGTAGCTGACGAAAGATGGGTGCTTGCGGGCGTCATTTCGTGGGGGAGACGCTGCGGAGGAATAGGCACATACGGAGTGTATACACGGGTTTCGAAGTTTGCTCTATGGATTAACAACGAGATAAACAAGGACGATTGAAATTGTGATATTCATTCAGGACAGCATGTAGACCATACAGAATTTAACCAGGTGCCGACTCCATAGTTGCAAGTGCTGTAAAGTAGTTTATTTTAAAGTAAACATCATTAAAATTAGTATTCAGTGAAATAAAGACAAAAAGCAGTGGCAATTGAATTTCTGACCATATGTTATTGTTAGTGTTTTAGTGTTGAAGGCAGCTAATTTCCACGTGCTTGGCCATTGGTTCGAACTGAATGTATCTTACTCACATACTAACACTTGAGGGAACACCTACCCAGAGTCTTTTTTTTGTGGGGTGGTGTTGGTGGGGGGGGGGGGGAAGTGGTTTTTCAGCTTGAGTTATTTGAATGGGACTGAGCTGTGACGGAAATGGCCATGGTTTCCCTGTTCAATTTTAAATTGCGGGTCTTATTATTGGGGCTGGATTTGTTCACGGTAGTACAGAGTTCAGATCCACTCAGGTAGATTAAGGCCTGGGTCTAAGTCATTTATGATTTTTATGTACAGTTTACAAAAACTATGATTAAAGACATTCACAAGGTGCGATATATGGTGAGGTAAACTAAACTTAAAAAACTTGAAAAACGAAATTTAAATTATTTGGTCACGTGTTCGACCACGCCTTCCATTGTTCGAAAATTGTAACCAACGATTCCCACCACTTGCCAAACGAGTAGCTCCAGGTTCTCTTTATCAAAACATTGTCTCTACAAAGTGTCTACGAAATCAGCTCGGAATGGTTCGAAGCATTACAATTGGCAGGTGCAATTGGTGTTCACTGACTAGTGCCAGTCCTCCTCCAACTAAAATTGTAGACAGGAGAAAGACGTTTATTAACCTCGCCTCATTCCGATTGTTTTTACATGAAGACTATTAGTAGCCACTTTTTGGACTTTCTGAAGGAAAACAGTTTACCCTCTTTCTGGTGGGAATTTGGACTCAAGGGATTTCTCGATAAAACAGGGCGTGGCTGGTCACGTGATGCAGTTATAAATACGTTTTAAAATGAATTTGGAAGATTTCTTGGTTATAATTGGCCTTATATTGTTGTTCATGGGATATCTTGAAAATACTTTACGTTATACCACCCCCCTTCAAAAATTCTTAAAACTCTGTAATGACCCAGGCCTTAATCTACTTGAGCACTGATGACGCTTGTAAATAGCCAGCTGCTTTGCCTCCGCCTAGCTGGGATTCTTAACCCTGTTTTGATTTGAAATATTTGTTTTAGTCATTTGCTCGGCCCCTCTAGCATCAGTGGTATAATGTCGAGGGTAAATAAAGGAATTATTATTTATTATTACCATCATCATCATTATTATTATTATTATTATTATTATTATTATTATCAAGAAACACTGAAGTTTGTGTAAAAAATTTTACAGATAAGCGCGTTACACAAATATAATGTAAGCGTCTCACACCCCCTACCAAAAACTTGCCCATAGTGACGTTGGAAGTGAGTAGCCTGTGGTATAAACTTTAAAACGTTGCTATGGTTTGCTTCCAGAACAACAACTAAAAAAATTGACGCGTAACAAGTCCCATTATCAACATGTTAAAACTTACATGATGCAGGGCTGTCAAAATGTTTTTAAGAAGCAGGCTGATGATGAATAGTAGGCGGCTTGAGACTAGAGTCTCGGAAATGGCGTTTCCAGGGATTTTACCGACGCCAGTTCAATCCTAGCCGGAAAATCTTCTTTTAATTTTTTTTTGTTTTTTTTTCTTTATTTCTTTTTTAGTTTACCTTTTGTATGTATACTTTTGTATTACTTTCATTTTATCGAAACAAACGAGCAAGGAAAAAATAACAAAAAAGATTCGCAAGTACGTAAGGGACTGGGCGCATGCTTTTTTTGGGGGGGGGGGGGGGGGGGCTAAATACAGTTTTGCTTTATATTTTCTAAGTTTCTTCGCCAGTTGTCTGTAACAATAAAGAGGGTAAAAAACACAACACCTTGAATGACAACAAGAGCTGACATTTCTTCTATATTTTCTTTAAACCTGGACAACATTTCACGGGCTAAATCACACGAACAATCAAAACCAATAAGTGGGCAAGCGCAGACACGTTGCGCTTCTCGTTTGGCCCCTTTCCTTTGGGTGGAACTTGTGAAACGCCTATAACGCCTGGCCGAATACACTTGCTCTTTTAAAATCCTTGCCAGTTTTTTTCTTTTTCACTTTTTTCCCCTCCTCTTTGATATTAGGGAGCTTTTGCATCGACGCCGGCGAAGGCAGCAAAAACGTCGAGCCACCTTCACCTTTTCCAGTTTCACTGAACACCCAAGTCCTTTAAATATAGAATGTAGTTAAAAAACACCACTTAAACATGGCATTGTTGAACGTATTTTAGTATTTAAACGGTAGATATAGGCATACTTTTATCCCTTAAACATTTTTCATCTGTTCGGATTTTCTAGCTGAAAGTCTACTGATCCGAAAATTACAGGGATCATAACTTACCTTTTCAAAAATCTCGATCAGAGAAAGGGCTGCCGAAAATTCTAGGTGACCTTTTTAAGGAAAAAATCCGTTAAAAATGGGCAATTGTACCTTTTTTTAGATGTTCGAAAGTCCTAGGAGAGGAAGGCAAGCGCGAAATTTTACAACAAATGTTCCGAAAAATTTCGGACCTCAAATCGTCTTCCGAACAGACATTTTCCGAAAATTGACGTTGGGTGCCCCTGTTTATATAACACTAGGTTGTCCTACAGGCTATCCAAAAAGCCAAAACAAATTATGGAAATTTTAACATAAGGTTCCAGGGTGCTAAAATCTGGAGTGATATAAGCGATGACATTAAGCTCCTCTCCCTCAAACCTTTTAAGAAAAAGCTAATTAAAAGTCCATTCTTATTGATAAATATTAATTGCAGATTTATCAACACTGTATTTTTTCTGGCTTTCTGTTGTTTGATACTGGTATACTTAGCTTTCTTTTGCTGCCTTTCTTTTTTTTTTAACTAGTTTTTAAAAATGTCGCGTTTATTCCAATTCACTGAAAATGCCAAATGTAGGCGGATTTCCCTAGCCTGAGAAAACAGGCAACATTTCACGACTCCACCACTGGTTTCCCCGCGAAATGACGTCTGGGAAACGAGCGCAGAAATTTCATACTGATGACGCGTCACTACCCAGATCTGGGTAGTGCTTCTGATTGGTCGTGCCAAGAGAAAAATTTGCCTCAACCAATCAGAGGCACTACCCGGATCTGGGTAGTGACACGTCATCAGTACTGGATTTCTGCGCTTGTTTCTCGCGTCGCTAAATGTCGGCTGTTTTCTCAGGCTATGATTTCCTTGGAGATGATTTCTTGGAGACTGCACTTAAGTTTAGAAAGAAAAAGAAAATTTCGTCGTCACTTGTTTAATACGTCCCCATGCATAAAGCGTAAAATTAGGCATTTTCAGGTCGTCAGGCGGACCAGACTCAGCGAGAGTATAAATAAATAGAAATTACTTACCTTGTGTGTTTTTTTTAAACTATTTCTTTGATTCTAGAGCTATTTCGAAGCCATTTTATCGACGTTTAAGATTTTGAGTTGAACTGAGTAAGAAAAAGTCTTGCGAGTCTGAGTCTGGTGAAAACTTTGGTGTCTGGGAAACGAGCGCAGAAATTTCATACTGATGACGCGTCACTTTTTTTCTTTCACTTGTTTTTTTTCTTCCTTTTTTTTTGTGTGTGTGTTTTGTGTAGCTGTGTGTGGTGTGTGGTACCTGACCCTTAATACCGTTAATACAATCATTTATTAATAATCTAAGTAAGGCTGCACTATCTTTTTAGCCTTCAATGATTATTATGGGCAGCCTGTACTCTCTCCATTTTGTATAATATATTTTTTGGATCATGTAAATTAATGTAGGGTACAAATAAAGTTGTTGTTGTTGTCAAAAATGAATTCGCACTTTTTCCAAAAAAATGTCGCGTTTATTCCAATTCACTGAAAATGTCAAATGTAAGCGGATTTCCCTAGCCTGAGAAAACAGGCGACATTTCACGACTCCACGACTAGCTGGTTTCCCCGCGAAATGACGTCTGAGAAACTAGTGCAGAAATTTCCTACTGATGACCCGTCACTACTCAGATCTGGGTAGTGCTTCTGATTGGTCGTGCCGAGTGGGAAATTTGCTTCAGCCAATCAGAGGCACTACCCGGATCTGGGTAGTGACGCGTCATCAGTAAGGCATTTCTGCGCTCGTTTCTCGCGTCGCTAACCGTTGGCTATTTTCTCAGGCTAGGATTTCCCTGGAGATGATTTCTTGGGGACTGCACTTAAGTTTAGAAAGAACAAGAAAATTTCGTCGTCACTTGTTTACGTCCTCCATGCACTAAAGCGTGAAATTAGGCATTTTCACTTCGTCAGTCGGCCTAGACTCTAGCTCTAGAGAGCATAAAAATAATACGTCCTAAATTCCATTTTTGACAAAATAAAAGTAAAAATGACTTACCTTGTTTTTTTTTAAACTGTTTCTTTGCTTCTAGAGCCATTTCGAAGTCGTTTTATCGACGTCTAAGACTTTGAGTTGTCCTGAATAAGAAAAATGGGAAGGCTTGCGAGTCTGAAGCCGACGGCCGTCCCTCCGTGCTACTCACGATACACCTTGCCTATCAGACCTATATTGAAAGAGATAAGCCATTCAAAAACTACAAAATAAATGTACACGTACTCAGACCTCCTCGGTTTAAAATCAGGCACCGTCCTAAAAAAATTCCACTAAGATATTGTAAACAAATACAATTTACATGCAAAACTCAAAATATGTCTAATTATATGTAGGATGTGACATAATCAAATAACTACTAAGGAGTAAAAACAAAGCATTTATTTTATGTTAAAAAAATGTCTTTATTTTCATAAAACATCACAACTGGGGGTTATTGATTGTGTCAGTAGTGTTAAAAGCATTCAAACTTCCACCACTGGAGCGCTCGGATACTATCAATACTTGATACCTCTCGTTTTAGCAGCATGAAGTCTGTTTATCATGATCACATGCATGAAACCTCGGGTTCAACCCTGAAAAGACTGGAATCCAATAAGCGGAACACTTAATTCATCGCTGCG